CTTTTGAGTTAAATGCCAAAAACTCCATAGTAATCAAACATCTAAGAATTAGAAATAATTTGTAATCCAGTCATTAGGTACTGGCCTTCCAGATTTTGGAGAAATATATTTTTAAAACTTTATCAAAATGTGAATAGCTAGTAAATAGCTAGTATACTTGTTAGTTTTAGGTTCCTTTTATTCATTTGTTTGTTTTAACCAAATACTCTCAGAAATAATTGGAAAAACTGAAATCTTGTTAATTTCTATATGCTTTTGCCAATACAGTACTTTTTTTTTTTGAGACAGAGTCTCCTGTCTCCCAGGCAAGTGCAGTGGCACTATCTCAGCTCACTGCAACCTTCACCTTACCAGGTGAAGCCTCCCCAGTTGCTGGGACTACAAGCGTGCACCAGAGTGTTTGGCTAATTTTTGTATTTTAGTAGACAAAATTTCACACCATGTTGGCCGTTCTGGTTTAGAACTCCTGACCTTAGGTGATCCACCCACCTTGACCTTTCCAGTAGCTGGGATTACAGGCATGCATCACCATGCCCAGCACATTTTTACATTTTTAGTGGAGACGAGGTTTTGCCATGTTGGTGAGGCTGGTCTCGAACTCCTGACCTCAGGTGATCCACCTGCCTCAACCTCTCAAAGTGCTGGGATTATATGAATCACCAGGCCTGGCCAACATTTTAGATAATTTATCTGCTAGTTAGGAAACTTCAGGCAAGAAAAAGCACAAAACACCTTTAAATAATTGCCTTTGGGCATGGGTTGGGGGCTGTAACTGAAGTACCTTACTTATGCCTCTGGACCCGATAAATTTTGCATACCTAATACAGCTCAGACTGTTCTGAGCTTTTTTTTTTTCCTCAGGTTTATATAAATCATTGGTTTCAACTAGACTGGTTTTCTATTTGAAAATGAGTGTGGCATTAGGAGAAAACCTTTATTTTAGTTTGCAATGTCTTCATATCTTTCCCCTGCTGATTCATAGCTTCTGCAGTTTCACTGTGCTGCTGCTACTTTTTTTTTTTTTCTCCTTGAGACAGAGTCTTGCTTTGTTGCCAGGCTGGAGTGCAGTGGCACGATCTCGACTCACTGCAACCTCTACTTCCTGGGTTCAAGTCATTCTCCTGCCTCAGCCTCCCAAGTAGCTGGGACTACAAGGCACACACCACCACACCAGCTAATTTCTGTATTTATAGTAGAGTTGGGGTTTCACCATCTTGCCCAGGATGGTCTTAATTCTTGACCTTGTCATCGCCTTGCCTTAGCCTCCGGAAGTGCTGGAATTATAGGCATGAGCCACTGCACCCGGCCTTCACTGTGCTTCTTTTAAGGGATTCATATCTTTTGTTAGTTAAGAAAACATTTTAGTCATTATCTCTGTGGATTTTAACCTTTCTGCATTATTATTTCTAGATCTCCTAATAGGCATAAAACCATCATTTAAAAAAAAATCCCTTAAACTATATTTTATGTTTAAAAGCAAAAATGGAAAAAAAAATGGCTAATGGAATGAAGAACTATATCTCTGTACCATATTCTGAATAATTTTTGTAGCTCTATTTTCCAGTTTACTTTTATCTTTATGTAATCTATTTAATCCATATGTTGGATTTTTTTTTTTTTTTTTTTAATTTCAATGGTGCCAGGCCTGGTGGCTCATGCCTGTAATCTCAGCTCTTTGGGAGGCCAAGGCGGGCGGATCACCTGAGGTCAGGAGTTCAAGACCAGCCTGGCCAACATGGTGAAACCCTGTCTTTAAAAAAAAAAAAAAAAAAAAAATTCAATGATATCATTTATAAAACTTTTGTTCTCTTTCAAAAGTGTATTTTTTTTTCTATAGTGTGCTTAATTTTTTACTGTTTCAATTCTTTCTTTTTCAGAATTTAAGTGCTTTTAACATACATATGTCTCTAACTTACTGGTTTCTTTTAGGTTCGCTTATCTGATATCTGTTAGTGCAAAACTTCCTGAATATTAGTACTTTACTTAAATTACATGATGTGTGATAATTTTGGGTCGATGATAGCATTGATACTTTTTGCACATTTAGTATTCTCAGTGAAATATTTATTGATGCAGCAAATACATATTGAGCACAGTGTTCTAAGTGTTGGGAGCAAAATAGACTTTTTTGGTCTTGTGGAACTTAAATTCTAGTAACTTGCTATGCTTACTAGTTACTTAATGATTAATGTTATAACACTGCTATAATACAGGTGTTGTCACATTAAGGTTCTAGCCTGAAATGTGTGGTCAGTAAGCTGCAATGATTTTTCCTTTTTTCGTTTTTTTTTTTCTGAGACGGAGTCTTGCTCTGTTGCCCAGGCTGGAGTGCAGTGGCATGATCTTGGCTCACTGCAACCTCTGCCTCCTGGGTTCAAGTAGTTCTCTGCCTTAGCCTCCAGAATACCTGGCATTACAGGTGCCGGTCACCATGCCCAGCTAATTTTTGTATTTTTAGTAGAGACAGGGTTTCACCATCTTGGTCGGGCTGCTCTTGAACTCCTGAACCCTGCCTCGGCCTCCTAAAGTGCTGGAATTACAGGTGTGAGCCACTGCCCCCAGCCTGATTTAAAAAAAATTTTTTTTTATATATAGATATTTTATTGCACTTTAGGTTCTGGGGTACATGTGCAGAACATGCAGGATTGTTGCATAGGTACATACATGGCAATATGGTTTGCTGCCTCCATCCCCCTGTCACCTATATCTGGAATTTTCCCCATGCTATCCCTCTCCAACCTCCCTACTCCCTGCTGTCCCTCTCCTATTCCCCCGCAGCAGACCCCAGTGTGTGATGCTCCCCTCCCTGTGTCCATGTGTTTTTACTGTTCAACACCCGCCTATGAGTGAGAACATGCAGTGTTTGATTTTCTATTCTTGTGTCAGTTTGCTGAGAATGATGGCTTCCAGATTCATCCATGTCCCTACAAAGGACACGAACTCATCCTTTTTTATGGTTTTTACATTTTTTAATGTTTGGAAGGAAAAATCAGATGAATTCTATTTCATGACATGTGAACATAATATAAAACTCAGATATGTGTCCAAGTAAAGTGTTCTCAGAAAATAGCCATACTTATAAATTGGCTATGGCCACTTTTGTGCTGCAACAACAGATTTGAATATTTGGACAGAGCTGAATAGACACAACAGAGACTATATGATCAAGAAAGCCTAAAATACTTTAGCCCTTTGCAGGAAAGTTCACTGGTCCCTGTATCGGTGTTTATTTTGTATAAATGTATTTCATAGATTGACAGCCAGTTGAGAGAAACGTATAGTAGTACCCCCTTGAAGACTCCCAGTGAATACCTGAAACCCCAGAGAATACTGAACCATATATCCTACGATGAAGCATTGGTGCAGAATTATTGTCACTCGCACTGTGATTATGTTGCCAGAACATAGGCAGATATTTTTTGTTTTTGTTTTTGGGAGCCTCTGGGTTCTTCAGCACTCTGTACAATATACCTGACTTTATCATATGCCCTACAACATTGCCTCAGTACCGGAGTTAAGCTGTCCTTTCACATTTTATGCCCTTGTGCATTTTTATGAATTAATATGTACTTTCCTTACCTGAGCATTATTAGGTAGTCTCTGAAAAATTTAACAATGATACTATAGCAGAACTTTAGAAACAATCTTAATATCTACAAATAAAGGAATGGTTAAATTAAAGTATTTTTTGGAACACAATTGACTGTTGTTAACTCATACTACAGAAAGCAAAACCATGGATAAAGGGGGACTACTATGTAGTATTTTTGAATAAGTGGTATGTTATAGTAATCAGATAGAATAGCAGACTCTAGGCTTGCCAGTAACTGTCCACTTTATAGCATTGTCATGAGATACATATGAGATGATGTAATTCATATAGTACATGACACTAGCAGTCTTCTGGAAATAGATACATTTTGTTATGATTAAATGTAGTGTTACTGAACCTTTGTAAACTGTTGTTTGTTTGCAAATAATGTTTATAGTTGCAGATCTGACATCAGTAAGGTCCATGTTTGTAGTTGGTTTTCTAGTCGTTTGATCTCTTTTTGAACAAATGGATTCATCTATTCACAGTAGTTCCCTTGATGCTGTGCTTGTATTACCTGGAAAACTGTCTTAAGCTGGGGTAGGGCAGTGGAATTAAAGTTTTAGGGACTTCCAGAATTAATAATGTTATCATGATTTTATTAATGGGAGTGCTCTAATCTGTGAGATAGTCAGCCATAAATTTTTAAAGCTTATTTACACATTACTTCCTCCCAGTAATTTGATGTAGATTACCAAATTAGGAGCATAAATAAAATGATGGAAAATCAAAACAATTAGGAGCTAAGTAGATGTGCCAGGATTCTAAAATAATTTATATGTTGTATTTTAATTCAACAGTTGTCCCAGAATTTTCTGGGAACTGAAATTGTGTCCTATTATTTTTTAATTATATGATAAAAGAATCTTTACAAATTTATTTTGCCCCTGTTATACTGTAATCTCACCAAAGTGATTGTTACAGGTATGTTTATATTATCATTTGCATCTATTAAAGTATAAAGTATCAATTTCTGTCTGTGCAGAAACTTTGATACTAAGACAAAATTTCTCACATAAAAGCACAAGTTGAAATGACAGCCGATTGCCATATTTGGCAGTAGTGTTCTCCAGATAGCAGCAAGGCCTGTTAAGCAGGGGGAATGCTTACTTTTTACTCTCTGGAGAAAGCTATCCTAAGATCCTCTACCCTAATTTTCTCAAACATCTTTGGAGGATTTATGTAAAAAGAAAGTAATACAATAAACCTCCATGTTTCTACAAATTTGCATTGTCTTTAGGAAAAAAAGTATTGCACTCGAATTATTCTTAGATCCACACCAATACTATCCACCCTCATCCCCAATAGCTGTATATTTTTATTACTTGTAAATGGTTTTCAAATAGTTGCTGATAGATGATCACATTATAGCATTTATGGACTCATATTTCTGGATCTTTTTTTACAGTTAAATCGTCGATCTGAAATTGTTGCTACAAGTTCTGGTGAATTCATCTTGAAGACATATGTAAGACGAACCAAGTCTGAAAGTTTTAAAACTTTGAAAGGCAACCCAATTGGACTTAACATGTTGAGCAACAATAAGAAACTGAGGTATAGGCACTTCACCACACATTCCTACAGAAAAGATAAGAGTTTGACACCAAAAACTTCGAAGCTAATAGGCCCAACCTGTACCTTTTCTTCTGAATTTGTCAATAGGTCCAAGAGGTGGTGTGGTCCCAGTATATGGATTCTTTGCTTTGAATCTTAGGAGTAGGGTTGATTGCAGTGTCTTTTGTTTCTAAATAAAACATTGCAAGAAATACTTTGTTAGGGTGGGATCTCATGATTTTGCTTTCTTTCATACATTTAGTAGAATCTCAGTCATAACATTTGAAAAAGCACAGTAGAGTGGTGTGGTCATGTCTCCTTTAGGAAATACTAATCAGGATTATCTCAATAAGGGACTTAACATTTCTTATTCCTCCTTTTTTTTTCAGATATAACGCACCTTTCCTATTGGTTATCATAGTGAACCACTGTTACTGGCAGGATTGGGTATCAGTAGCAACTCAGAAATAGGGTTATAAGTCATTGTTTAATTTCTGCTGTCTGAATTTATACATAAACAAGTGAAGTACATAAAGGGCTCAGTAACTTTCAAGTCAGTGGCAAAATCAGAAATAGTATTTAGTACCCCTGATTTGTATTTTAGTGTTCTGCTTTATTTTTAAAGTTTTTGGGGGACGGAGTCTTGCTCCGTCACCCAGGCTGGAATGCAGTGGCACAGTCTCACTCACCTCAGCCTCTGCCTCTGGGGTTCAAGTGATTCTTCTGCCTCGCCTCCCGAGTAGCTGGGATTGCAGGTGCCAGCCATCACACTCAGCTAATTTTTGTATTTTTTAATAGAGACAGGTTTTACCTTGTTGGCCAGGCTAGTCTTGAACTCCTGACCTGAGGTGATCTGCTGTTCTTAAAATTTTCTTTAATTGGATTGGAAACATTTGAAAGACAAATTCAGGAAATGGGAAACCCCAGTAGACAATTGGGTTTATCCATAAATAATGTTTTTAATTGGTAAAGGTTTTTGTGTATGTGTTCAGATTTTAAAGGATTTATTTTATAAATGTGTGTAATTTTTCCATGTTCTAACTATTTTTTGTTTCTTGAATCTGCAGTGAGAATGCGCAAAATACATCATTATGTTCTGGAACTGTAGTTCATGGTAGACGTTTTCATCATGCTCATGCACAGACACCAGTAGTAAAAACAGCAGCCCAAAGGTAGGAATTCTCATTGTCTTTTATTCATATATACATGGCATCCTCTTCAATAGTTTTTTACTTTTTTAACCTTTTTTTCTTTGTGAAACCTATTTTCACTGTCTATAAACAGATATATCTCTGAAATAATTGATGACTTGAAATTATACAATTTTATGTCTGCTTTTGAATAATCACATTCTATAAATAGAGAATTTTTTAATAAGACCCATTCTGTTGCATTATAATCCAGAGAATCTAAGGTGATGTTTAAATTAAACTGATTTACAATATTGATGTTATAGTCAAACATATAGTGTTTGACTATAACATCAATATTGTAAATCAGTTTAATTTAAACATCAGTTGGTAGTTTAGCTCTGAAGAGTAAAATTACAGTTAATACTATACTTTATAAGGCTTATAACAGTTCATAGCATCAAAACAAGTCACATTAGTTTTAAATGTTGGAGAAAGTGTTATTTTTGTAGTTTTAGTTAGATTTAGGAGTTCTCATTGATCTTGAAAGTACTGCTTGACTTGAAATAATGAAAGTAACATTTGGGGAACCATTTTTGGAATGTTACATCCACTTTCAGTTGACTGAAATTCTTAGGCTCAAAGAGTTGAATAATGTGTTTATTGCATTATAAACAGTTTCTTATAACTAGTAAAATGTAAAGATTTAGCATATATTTTAGATGCTTTTCTTCATTTTTTTTCAATGTCAAATCTGGACTGCTCCTCTTGCTATATTTTTCTGTTTATGTAGATGTGCTCTCACATAACTCTTTTACTTAAAAACATTAAGTAACCTCACACTTTATGATAAACCAGCCTTTCCTTGGCCTTAAATATATTATTGTATCATAGTGTTCACATAAGGTACTTGAGAAATTTAAAAGGACAGAGAAATTACTGTGCATACCAAAAATTGGCTTACTCTACTGCCAAGTACACAAATCAAGCTCTCTGGCCTACATGTGGCAAAAACATGAGAATAAATAATAAAAGGAGAGTAATTAGGGGAGAGAAAAAGAGTAGACACTTTCTTATGCACTGATCATACCAATAGAAAACATTGCTGATAAAGGTGTCTTAATATTCTGATAATGTAGTCTAAGTTTGAAATACTAATTTAAACCTTATAATCAATTTAAGCGATTCATTCACAACCAAAATTATTAACTTATTTTTACTTTTGAAGTTATCTGTTAGTTTGGAATTACTGGTGACCTATTCTCCATTCCTCATTTCCTCATTGGTTTTTTTTTTTGTTTTGTTTTTTAACCTCATTGGTAAAGTTTAAAAAAACTGTTAATAATCTGGAAATTGGGTTGTGATTTTTTATTTTTTATTTTCACATAGAAACAGCAGTCTTCATTTAGGAGCGATTTGTTTTATTCTAGGTCTCAACACCTATAATATTTAGCATGTGTATCATTGCTCATTTACATAAAAGATTAGATTCAGTTAATATGAACTAGTATATACTAGTAAAATGTTTCTTTAAAAACCACCTGAATTAATTTGTTTTTAAGAAGTAATCCTGATTGAAAAAATCTTAAGAATGATTAAGGGCAGTAAAGAAAACTGTAGAATCCAGTCAGCAGGATAGATTCTATTTACGTTTGTCTTTTATTAAATGATACTGTGTAAGAATAAACATTTCTTATTCCAACTGCAGTATGACTGTCACTAAAAAGATTTTGATGTTCAAAGACAAGTCATTGAGAGCTTTCAGTTTTCTTCCTTCAAAAACATTGAATGATTTTATGCTACATACCAGGCATAGATGAGGTGCACAGGGATGAATATGATAAAATCCCTACCAGTAAAGCGCAAATTTGATTGCCCTAGAGATTGATTAGGGTGCAGAAAGACAAGTAAACAAATGATTACGTGCATGGTTAGGGCAGCAGTAGAGATGTACAAATTATGTGTAATAAAACTAGAGAGAAGGGAACAGGAAAGAATTTATAACATTAAAGGAGCTTCTGAGTATACCACGTAGAAGAGGATACTGCAGGCAGTAGGCACGAAAGCTTTACCTAAGATTGTTGCTTCCAAGGATTTAGCACAATTGTTAGATCTCGGGTGAGGGTAATAAACACCTTGACCTTTACAGCTTCTGCTAAATTTTCTTGTTTTCTCAAGTCTTTATTTTATTTTTTTTTTAATTATAGAGAAGAATTTGCTCTATTGCCCAGGCTAGAGTATGGTGGCACAATCATAGCTCACTGCAGCCTCAAACTCCTGGGCTCAGGCAGTCCTCCCACCTCAGCCACCTGAGTAGCTAGGACTACAAGCATGTACCACCTTACCTGGTTAACTTAAAAAAAATTCTTTTTGTAGAGAAGGGCGCTAGCTTTATTGCTTAGGCTGGTCTCCAACTTCAAGCAGTCCTCCTGCCTCAGCCCCCTAAAGTTCTGGGATTACAGGCCTGAGTCACTGCCCCTGCCTCAAGTCTTATGATAATTTGAAATGAAAACAAATGCCATCCATTTGGTAATTCATACACAGTGTATTCTTGGGGTGAGTGGTATATCTTGTCTTTTAAATAAATCAGACCTGCTAAAATCTGAGTAATTTGTTCTTTAGTAATATATGGAAACGAGTGCTTTAGTCCTTTTTTATCTAAACAGTGAGTGAAGTTTGTTAAAATATCACATTGGATTAGCTAGTCTTTAGGACATAATTAAGGTTACAATCTGTTTTCTTACTGCTATTCCCAATGTTAATTTAATTCATATTTAAAAGATAGATTGTTTATATACTAATAGTGACAGGGAAGTATGGAAAAAAACAAAATGCAAAAATTTAAAAGTCTGTAATTTATACCATCCCTTCCCCTAAATTTAATCAGACTTACTGAAACAACACATTTTATGGATTTATGTTTTACCTATACTTCCACTTTTTATTTTTTAAAGTATAGATAAAAAGACTTATTAGAACCTTATAAGAAATCAATAACCTTGTTTCCTGATTTCTTATAAGGTTCTAGTAAGTCTTTTTATGATCTTTATCTTTTAAGTCTTTTCCCCCACTTAGTGGGAAATGGATGTCTATGAGAGCATATAAAATCCATAAATAGGAATATGGGATCCTGGAATACATAATATTTAATTATTAGTGAAAAGCATGATTTTGAAAGTTGGCTTTTTTTTTTTTTTTTTTTTTTTTTTTTTTGATATAAGAGTCTTGCTCTGTTGGCCATGCTGGAGTGTAGTGGCATGATCTCCATTCACTGCAACTTCCACCTTACAGGTTCAGGCAATTCTGCCTCAGCCTCCTGAGTGGCTAAGATTACAGGCTTGTGTCACCATGCCTAGCTAATTTTTTTTTTTTTTGGCCTTTTTAGTAGAGACCTGGTTTCACTGTGTTGGTCAGGCTGGTCTCAAACTCTTTACCTCAAATAATCTGCCTGTCTTGGCCTCCCAAACTGCTGAGATTACAGGTGTGAGCCACCACACCCAGCCCATTTTGAGAGAATTTTTGAAGTTGTAAATGAGGTCATTGATAGAAAATTTTATCTATTAGTCTTTTTTCCTTTCTTTCTTTCTGTTTTTTCTTTTTTGAGACAGAGTCTGGCTCAGGTTGGAGTGCAGTGTCCTGATCTCAGCTCACGGCAGCCTCCACCTCCCAGGTCCAAGCAATTCTCCGCCTCAGCCTCCCGAGTAGCTGGTATTACAGATGCCCACCATCACACCTGGCTAATTTTTATGTTTTCAGTAGAGATGGAGCTTTGCCATGTTGGCCAGGCTGGTCTTGAACTCCTGACCTCATGATCCGCCTGCCTTGGCCTCCCAAAGTGCTGGGATTACAGGCATGAGCCAACATACTCAGCCCCCCCCCCCTTTTTTTTTTTAAATTTTAAGACCACAGTTACAGAACTAATTGAAGGTAAATTTTTCTTTTCTATTTTACATGAAATAATTTAACAAGAATGTAAGTTGACATTTTTGCAAAGTGCTACATTACTAGTAATGACTTTTCCCTGATTTTTATGTTTTATTTTAACATGTAAGCTACTCTAGGGCAAAACTTGATGAAAACACATATTGAAGATACTTGTAAGAATTCCATGACTTATAAATCAGATATATCATAATGAATGCACTTTTTTTCTCAAGGATAAGGAAAATGAACATTGATGTGTGTCTTTCTATATAAATATATTTTTATCTTTACTGTTTTGTAATAACTCCCTTGGCTTATTGAGAAGTATTGTACCTAACCCGTTTCTTCTACCTCTGTTTTACTACGTACTTCCTTTCGTCTGTACAGGTGAGTATAAAAAGCAACAGAGGCTGGGTGTGGTAACTAACACCTGTAATATCAGCACTTTGGGAGGACAAGTTAGAAGGATAGCCTGAGCCCAGGAGTTTGAGACCAGCCTGATGGTGAAACTTTGTCTCTACAAAAAATACAAACACTAATTAGCCAGGCATGGTGGTTCACACCTGTAGTCCCAGTTGCTCAAGTTGGGAGAATCACTTGAGCCTGGGGAGATCAAGACTTCAGTGAGCTGTGATTGTGTCACTGTACTCCAACCCGTGTGACAGAGGCAGACCCTGTCATCTAAAAAACAAAAAGAGGAGAGTACTATACTATTCTTACTTCTTGGGCACAGCAGTATAGAATTGGAAATGGCTCCATTAGTTACTAATGCCTAACTTTTGGTTTTTATTTTACTTTTTCTGGAAATGCAGCTGTATAAGAAATAAAAACATAGAATAGGATAGAATAGTTAAACTTTTATGGGGATGCGATTATATTCTCTCCTTTTTCTTAATTTGCTACAATAAAATTGATATTTTATTTGCATACTCCACATGAGAGGAGTATAAGATTAATATGGGAATTTGAGGATTTTGTAAATTATGCTTGACTTATAGTTCCAAATATTTCATTCCTTTTATAATAAGGAGAAATAATATCAGGATGTGAATCCTGTTTTATTCTAAATTGAAGGTTTATATAATTTCATTCTTGAGTAAATGATGTTAATAGCTTTTTGGAGTTTTTATGAACTATGAAAAAGTATAGAACTTTTTATACATTGGACTTGTGATAAGAAGACATGATTTTAAATTATAGGCCTTTTCTTGTGTCCCAAATCATATACTGTATTTAATCTAAGACATTTGTCCAAAAGTTTCAGCCTTAAAAAATTTTTTTTCTTACTCAAAAGCTGATAATCATACCCAATATTAGGATCAGTCCAGACCCAATAAAATTTTTATAACTTCTAGGAAATGCTGTTGTTTCTTGAAGACTATTTCTGTAACTACAGTAGTCTCCTTATTTGGGGTTTTGATTTAACCATTATTCCCTTATTGGTAAATACTGAGATTGTTTCTAAATTTGCTGTGATACCATTATTGAATTTTTCAGATATTGAGAATTATGTTCAGGTGAGGGAAGTACATATTATTCATAAGAGTACAAAGGAAGGTACCATGGCATTAAACATGAAAGGACAGGTTAACTCTGGCACTATGTAGCAACACTGTTGAGCATATGATAAAACTAGGTGTAGTATATAAAAAAAAACCCATGCCAGATGTGCTGGTGTGTGCCTGTAATCCGAGCTGCTTGGGAGGCTGAGGCAAGAGAACTGTTTGAACCCAGGAGGTGGAGGTTGCAGTGAGCTGAGATCGCACCATTGCACTCCAGCCTGGGTAACAGGGCAAGACTCCATCTCAAAACAAAACAAAACAAAAAAGTCATGTGCTCACAAAAACATATGCTCATCTTCTGGCAGCATAATCAGAAAGTGTGGTTGACAGCCGTTTTGTTTAAAAAGTTTCCACCAATGCTTCATTTTTGCTATATTGGATTTGGTACTCTCCTCAGTTTCAGGCACCCATTGGTGGTCTTGGAACGGATCCTTAGAGAATAGCGGGGAATATTGTAGTCTAAAATAACGTATCTTCAAATATTTGATAAAGCCCTTTCAATAACTTCTTATATTTTTGTGTATTCATCTTTCTTCCTGTTAAATATCTTAAAAAATTGTTAATTTTGTGTATTGACAGAAATTGAAAAACAATTTAGACATGATTCAAAACATAGTATATTATATATATAATGTATTTAAAGCAAATTGGTCACATTATAGTTTTGCCTTAATGACTATATTTACTACAACTACAGTGATATATCAACAATGAGGTCTTGCCTCTTACGTTTTTTTTCTTTTTCATGTTTTAAGCAGTCTGGACCGAAAAGAAAGGTAAGCTTAATATTGAAGAAATTAGAGCATGGATATAGTGGTAAAATATAAAATTATTTATGTATTTTAAAAAACATTTGTTGAATTACAGTCCATAATTAAAGCTTTTTTAATTTTAAATTTTTAGATTTTTAGTTGGCATGTAACAATTGTATGTATTTATGGGATATAGAGTAATATATCAATACAGGTTTATGATATATAATAATCAGATCAGGGTGATTAGTATATCTATTCCTTCAAACATTTATTGTTTCTTTGTGTTGTCAGCATTCAAAATCCCTTCTGGCTTTTTGAAAACATAAAATAAATTATAGCTAACCATATTCACCCTATAGTGCCACAGAACATGAGAACTCATTCTTCTGTCTAGCTGTAATTTTGTATTTGTTAACCCACCTCTCTCCATCCTCTCCTCTCCCACCCTTCCCAGCTGATAGTATCCACAGTTCTACTCTTTGTAATAAAAGGAAACTTGTTGACAGTACAACATTATATTTGGCTTATATAGCTGGTATTTGAGGCTCATTCTCAATGTACATTTTTCCATGAATGGTTATTGTTTATGCTAATATGTGACTACTTTTAAAAATAGAATATTTCAATGCCTTAGTAGTAAAATTGCTTTCAGTTACATCATCAAAATCTTTGTCATTGTATTTTAGTGATAATACTTGTTTTTATGCTTTAATAGACTGGAGGGAAGGGAAATGGATTAGAACATCTTAAGCTTAGAGTTAAATCTTTAAACATCAGGTGTATTAATTTCTGACTGAAAAGTTCGTAACAGAATTTTATGATTAGTCTTCTTGTATCATTACTTGTTGTCTTTGTAAGAACACTGGCAGACACGTGTTCTTGACACGTGTTCTTGTAGAAGATATTTGAATGGTATAAATGGCATGGAAAAGCATTTAAGAAAAACATTTCTTCAAACATTTCAGAGTGAAATGATCATAATTGTTCTAAAGTGGGTATCCATAAGAGTAGCTTCTCTGGGCCAGGCATGGTGGCTCAAGCCTATAATCCCAGCACTTTGGGAGGCCGAGGCGGGCAGATCACGAGGTCAAGAGATTGAGACCATCCTGGCCAACATAGTGAAACCCTGTCTCTACTAAAATATAAAATTAGCTGGGCGTGGTGGCACACGTCTGTAGTCCCAGCTACTCAGGAGGCTGAGGCAGGAGAATTGCTTGAACCGGGGAGGCGGAGGTTGTACTGAGCCGAGATCGCGTCACTACATTACACTCCAGCCTGGCGCCTGGCGACGGAGCGAGACTCTGTCTCAAAAAATAAATAAATAAAATAAAATAATTGGTCTGGTATAAGTAGTAAGACAGTAAACAAACTGGAAAATCCAGCTGTTTTTAATTTTCAACCAATGTGTTGAATCAATTAAAAAAAAAACAAGTCTATAGTACCTTTCAAATGCCTGAATTTTGACATTTGTTCATCAACTGATGGATTGATGTCTTCAATTGCCGTGTGATGGCTCTGCATGGGCATGGTGGTTGGTGCTTCAATTTTGACAGCATTACCATCCTTGGTGATGACATGGACAGCAATGTTTCTATAATTGTTTGTAATGGTATACACACACACACACACACACACACACACACACACACACATTGCCTTTTAGGCATATACTTTTATTCCTTCCAAGTATTTATTGAACTTACTATTACAGGCATAAGGATAGAGTGATGAACCAAACAGACAAGATCCCTGCAGTCCTGTAGTTTACATTCCTATGGGACAAAGACTAATACTGAACAAGTAAAACATGAAATAATTTCTATATAGAAAAGTATACAGTTGGGTGATGTGATAGACTGACAGTATGATTTCTTTAGATTGCATATTCAGGGAAACTCTTACTATCAAGGTAACATTTAACCAAAGACTAAAAGGGGAATTGGTAGTGCCACGATCTTAAGAATAGCTTTTCCAGACAGGGAAGAGGTTGTGTTAAGTTACTAATGCAGGAATGAGTTTGGCATATCGAAGAACAGAAGAAAGGGGCCACTGAGGCTGGAGCTTAGAGAGCATAGGAGACAATGTTATATGAGATGGGTGTGGAGAGATTGCCTGGGACCCTAGGTCTTAAAAAGCTTTATAAGGTGATCTGAATCATTTGGATTTTATATTAGTGCAATAGAAGCTTTCAGAGCATTTAAGATAGGGAAGCATTGTTACCTGATGAGTATTTGAGATTTTTAAACAGTCTTTTTCATATAATTTATAATTTGGCACAAACAGAAGTTTAAATCAGTGGCAATTCAATTAAGGCTGAGCAGGTTCCTCTCTAAATAGAGGTATATTACAAAGGAAAGTCAATAATAGTCTATAAGTACTTAAAACTATCTCAGCAAGGTCTAGGAGTTGGGGAGGTAGAAAGGCAGAAGGAAAAGCAATCTTTTTGGCAGGGAAGGGAATTAGGAGGGTTAAGGTGGAAAAATAAAAGGATTTTGAAAGTCTCATCCCATTCGGGATATAATAGAGTTTGCTTGAGGAAATAATTTGAATCTCAGTAAGTGTAATAAGTGTTGAGAGGGAAGGCATCTGTATTCATTTGTTAAATTCAGTAAGGAAGAGAAAGAGTATGTTGTGCAAACAATATTGTATGAAAATAGGAGAAAAGAGAAAAGAAATTGAAATAATAAAAATATAAAAAGTAATAGAGTAAGATGAAAACAGAACATGAAGTCTGTCAGCAGGTATAATAACTATATTCAATATATTTAATAAAAGGCATACTGATTCGATTAAACCCAGCTATACTTGCATCATACTAAAATAACCAAAGCGAAAGTAAGTTTAGAGGTACAAGAGATAGAAACAGAAATCATGAGTGGAATTTTAATAACAAGGTAGATGGAGTTAAGGATTAAAAGTACTAGACAGGATAAAGGAGCACATTCTGTAATAGGCACAGTTTATAGGAACATAACAAGTAAATAAAAGCCTCCGCTAAAATAGTTAAAATTCAAGAAATTCAACATGGTGAAACCCCACCTCTACTAAAAATACAAAAGTTAGCCAGCTGTGGTGGCGTGCGCCTGCAATCCCAGCTACATGGGAGGTTGAGGCACAAGAATTGCTTCAACTTGGGAGGTGGAGGTTGCGGTGAGCCAAGATTGTGCCACTGCACTCTAGCCTTGGTGACAGAGCAAAGCTCTGTCTCAAAAAAAAAAAAAAACAAAAAAGTGAGAGATTTTAATACATCTTGAAAATTAAACTGGTTTATCAGTTAAATAGTAATAATAGATTTTAACTGTAAAATAAATAAGATGATTCATTTTCATAGAAATTTAAATATTTTACCATCTTTAATAATGGAAAGATTAATAAAAAGAGTTACTATTAAAGCAAGTCAAACAATAGCAGAAAGACAAATGATGGCCAGATCCTGGTTTTTAAATACCACTCTCCAATAAAAGGAATAGAGAAATGGCTGATTCTGGAGTTGTGATAGGTAAAACACAGAATAAGTGTGGTTCAAGATACCTAGAAAATGCTCAAAAAATTAGGAGTGCCCACTTCAAATTCTCCTGTATTAAAATTGGAACAATAGATGATTAGTATGGATGACACACAAATTAGTAAAGCATTTCATATTTTTGTAAATTGTGTGTGTATATTTTATCCCAACAACAACAAAAACCAAAAAGATATAGTTACATCAAAGAGAAACAAGCCAACTAAAAGACCTCTCAAATGCCCAAAGTGTTAACAATTGGATAACTTAGACCGAGGGACATTCTATAAAGTACCTGTTGAGTTCTCTTCTAAATACTGAAAGACACAGACAGGAGACTAAGGAGACATGATGACTTAATGCATTTTATTCCAGATTGGATCCTGGAACAAAAATGGGGTATTAGTAAACAGCCGGTAAATTTTTTTCTTTTTCTTTGAGACAGAATCTGACTCTGTCACCCAGGCTAGAGGGCAGTGGTGCAGTCTTGGCTCACTGCAACCTCTGCCTCCCAGATTCAAGCGATTCTTGTGCCTCAGCCTCTCGAGCAGCTGGGATTACAGGCACACACCACCATGCCCTGCTGATTTTTGTATTTTTAGTAGAGATGGTGTCTTGCCATGCTGGCCAGTCTGGCCTCATAAACGCCTGGCCTCAAGTGATTTGCTGGCCTTGCCTTCCCAAAATGCTGGAATTATAGGCATGAGCCACCTTGCCCAAGCAGTAAATTTCTAAGGCTGGACGTTAGTTCGTAAGTGTACCACTGTTGGTTTCTTTTTGGACACCTGTGATGACAGTATTAAGGTGTTAATGTTAGGGTGAGAGATATAAGGGCATTCTGAATTGTGTTCGCAACTTTTCTGCAAATCTAAAATTATTTCAAACTTAGTTTACTAAAAAACAGACTTTCACAGCTGAGGCTTATCTAACTTTTGATGAACAGAGCTTTCTGATGTCATTTAAACAATTCAGAATAGAGAAATAAACACTCGCTAGTTCATTTTAAACAGCTTGTAAAAATCTTTGTTTATAAAATGGGACCTCTAAAACTACACAAACACAAACTCTAGAAACAAAAGTTCTACCCACCTACACAGGAAGGTATCAGATGACAGTAGAGCTTCTCTACCTCTAGTTGGTTAGGTGTAGAAAAGAAATAGCCAGACATTAAATCCTAGGCTTGATCTTCATATGAATTTAGATTTTGAAATTTATACCTGCAAGAGTGATGGAATCCTCAAATTAAGAATTAATGTAAATGATGGCTGGGTGCGGTGGCTTATGCTTGTAATCCCGGCACTTTGGGAGGCTTAGGCAGGCAGATCGGTTGAGGCCAGGATTTCAAGGCCGGCCTGGCTAACATGGTGAAACACCATCTCTACTAAAAATACAAAAGTTAGCCCTGTGTAGTGGTATACACAGGTAATCCTACTTACTTGGGAGGCTGAGGCACGAGAATTGCTTGAACCTGGGAGACAGAGGTTTCAGTCAGCTGAAATTGCACCACTGTACTCCAGCCTGGGCAACAGAGCAAGACTGTCTCAAAAAAAAAAGAAAGAAAAACCAATGTAAATTTTGATTTTAGATCATCTAGCAAAAAGTTTTTAAAACTGAATTTTGGAGAAAATAAATATATGGCTAGGTAGTTAATTTTATCAAACACATTTTTATCTTGAAAGGTTTATATTTAAAATATTCTATTTCTTCAGTTTATTTATTATTATTTTTTTAAACAAAGCTTTAATTTGCCCTACTTTTATAGGAAAAAATATAGCGAATTTTTGGCCAACAGAGTGGCCATAAATTCTAGAAATATAGGGAAGTATACACAATAGTTTAATATTACATTACAATACATGATAAGATTGTGGCTATTATATGATGTATTCAATGTGTCGTTCCTCAGTAGCAATGCACGGTTTAATACACAGGTTCAAATTGCAAGAACACTGCATTAATATAACAGTTTCATCAATCTCTATACATGCATGTATGATTACAGTCTCAGATGATTTATGTCAGTTGTTTTTTTACTGAATCTAGATAAACCCGGATTTGGAAATAAGACTATATTATATTCTCTTTAGTGTGAAAGTATATGGAACTTGAAAATATGCATTTTACTTTAATTGCAAGTTAGGAACTGACAACCTGCCTTCTTTCTATAAGACTGTTACTACTTCATCTCAGGCAGATTCTCATTTTCATAATGCATATCTTCACACATTTAAAAATTTTCGGGGTGGAAATTGCCCAGTTGTACCAGATACTGCTCTGTTCAGTATTGGTGCAATTTGCTGGGATTCAGATTCTGGCATTGTTATTTAATAATTGTGTGACCATGGACAAGTTAATTAACCTCACTGCACTTCAGTTTTTTCATTTATAAAGCATTAATAATAATATATGCATCATAAGGTTATTGTGAGGATTAAAGGAATTCATAGATACAAAACACATAGAACAGTACATGGCACATGATGCTATTTTCTAACTGCTATTATAAGTACACTGCTATCTCTACCCATACTATTTTTTATTTTGTTATTTTCATATTTTGTTTTCATTTCAAGTACTTTGACTTTTGTAGTATAAGACTATGAAATTCTTGCAAGAATATGTCTTTGGAATTTTTCTTTAAGTAAAATGATTTTAATGAAATGAAAGCTATGATTTACATTTACTAGATACTAGTATATATAGAATTAAAAATAAATAGCCTCTTATTTTTATGTGGTTTATTAGAGTAGGAAAGTAGCTATTGTAGCTCCCTGGTCTATTGCACTTTTTGCAGTTCCCCTTTTATAATGCTTTTATCCTACTATTAACTATAAGGTTTTTCGCTTTTCCCCCCCATAATTAGTGTTCGTTTGGTTTTAAATAGATACACTGTTTGGATGTAGTATTTAGATACAGTACTTGCTTAATTAGGATTATGTTTAAAATTCTTGAAATTGTATGTATTTGAAGTTTAACAGAGGAATTTAATACTTTAAAACAAATGTTCTTATAGCCCCTACATAATGTAGTCATACTACAAAACTAAAATACTGTTCCATGATTGCTGGTCTTGTACGTTATGTTTTTTTGTTCTGATGTTGGAATTGTTCTCAAGACAATCTCATTCAACTTTTATTCCTTTATTTATTAATTAGTTTTTAACTAAAATACATTTATAGTAAAATTTTGCAAATTGAGTTTTATTTATTGTTATAATGTTATTATTTTATAGTATCACTTTTTATATTGCAAAGAAGCTATGATTTGCTTTTAATAAGCTTATTGTCAGTATGCCGTTAACTTTTTCATTTTGAAAACTGTATTTCCTATTAGAATAAAATTATATAAATTTCTTTTTTAGGAAAGAATATCCACCTCATGTCCAAAAAGTTGAAATTAATCCTGTAAGGTTAAGTCGGCCCCAAGGTGTTGGTAAGTGTGAAGGATTTTGAATTACTGTGTGAAAAGTACAGTAGAGATATGATGCTGGCTTTAGAATATTCCCAGATATAATAGATATATATATAGAGAGAAAACCATTTTTGTAACTGATTTGAGAATTTCTTCAATTGTAACCTGATAGCTGGAAGGGTTGCATAGTTAGGTGATTACAGTTTGAAATCTTTTGATTATTTTAGTATTTTTGTTACGTTACAAATGCAAATAGTAACTGTAGTTGAGCTATAGCTTTGAAATTGAGTTTTATTGAACTATGTTATAATGTTGTATTATATAATTGTGTTTTATTGGTTTTGCTCCTAAAATTTAGAATACATTAGGGAACCACTCAATTAAAAAGAAACCACACCTGCTAAACTGTGTTAATAGTAGATACTGCAAAATCATTGTGACTAGAAATTTATATTTATATTGTGGTATTTTTCAATATACTGGTATTAATCCAAAAAAAATAAGGGGAAATAACATTTATAAAATATATATTATCATAAAATCGGTTTTCATTATCTAGAATAATGATTTTTAATGTGTGTCCATCTTGTTTTTCTGAGGTTGTTTAAATAACCCTGGTGGCTCTTAGTTTCAAAATAGAATAATTTTAAAAAGCTTGGTTTTTCTGTTAGCTAAGAGTGTGCTTTTAAAAACCATCCACAGTTTTTTTTTCTACTTTGGGTGAAAATCTTTTGTGCATGTTTTGAACATTCCTCTTGTTTTATAAAGAGAATATTCTAAACTTCATCCTTTCTTAATAATGTGCAGTCATTATAGATATGAATTATTTACTTTACATACTAAGCATTTTTACACTTACTAAGTTTATGAAGTTTAATAATAGTGACTACCCTCTTTAGCATTCATTCTGTTATACCTTAAATCTTTATTGAGTTCTTAGTCGACCGTATGCTGAGTCCAGTGCTTTACATTCATTATTTACTTTTATCCTAGCATTGTGTTCAGGATCTCTATAAGCTAAATTCAACAATTACCTGCATTTTGTATAGTGGAGGAAACAGAGACACAGAAGGATTATATAACATCCTCAGAAACGTAGAGCTAGTAAATGACAGAGCTGTATTGGAACTCATGCTTGTTTGATGCCAAATCCCCATGTTCCTAAATACTGTAGTTTACTATATTCTTGCTCTGTCACAAAGAATGTTACTTCTAATCCTCAGAACTATGTAAGATGTATTACCATTTTTATTTTAACAAATGCATTTCTGGCTAGGCGCAGTGGCTCATACCTGTAATCCCAGCATTTTAAGATGCAGAGGCAGGCAATCACCTGAGATTAGGAGTTCAAGACCAGCCTGGCTAACATGGCAAAATCCCATCTCTACTGATCTCAGGATCCACCCACCTTAGTCTCCCAAAGTGCTGGGATTACATGCTTGAGCCACGATTCCCGGCCACAGTTTGTATTCTATCACTGTCCTCTGGGTACTTATTTTTCAGCATATTAGTAGTATCACAGTTAAAGTCTTAAACAAGAAAGTTAAGCCTCTTTCTTTACCTGCTTCTTCCACAACTTCTATTATGAAAATGTTTAAATAAGCAGAAAAGTTGAAACTTCTACAGTGAACATGCATATATCTAGCACATAGATTCTACAATTAACACTTTTCTATTCTTGTTTTATCACATGTTCATCTAGTCTTCCCTTTAGACATTAATTCATCTTTTTTTTTTTTTTGATGCATTTTCAGGTGGATTGCTGACACCTGTTATACTTCTAAACAGTTGAGTGGGCATATTATTAACTAGAGTTCAATATTTGTTTACAGTGTTTTTTTCTTTTGAGAGCTTGTTTGGAGGTTCTAGCAGAGAAGCACAGCTACTCATTTACTCTTGACCCAAGACCAGTCCTCCTCTATCCAGGATGGTTGTTCTCTTCAACCTAGCACGCAGCTTTGGGAGGGATACACATGGAGCAGTGAGGGAGGAAGTGGACAACACCTGGCCAGCCAGATCAGCCGAGTCAACCCTGGCAATCAATAGGGTGACAGACGTCACAACCAGATCACCCTCTCACATCCTTTTTTGTTGTTGTTGTTTGTTTGTTTGTTTGAGATGGAGTCTCGCTTTGTCGCCCTAGCTGGAGTGCAGTGCTGCGATCTCGGCTCACCGCAACCTCTGCTCCCTGGTTCAAGTGATTGTCCTGCATCAGCCTCTGGAGTAACTGGGACTACAGGCATGTGCCACCACTCCCAGCTAATTTTTGTATTTTTAGTGGAGACGGGGTTTCACCATATTGGCCAGGCTGGTCTCAAAAGCCTGACCTCATGATCCACCCGCCTCGGCCTCCCAAAGTACTGGGATTATAGGTGTGAGCTACTGTGCCCAACCATATCCTTTCTTTTGAAATAAAATTTACTGTAATGAAATACATACATCCTAAGTATTTAGTCCAATAACATTTGAAAAGCACATATCCGTTTCTAACCAAAGCCCCCATGAAGACATAGTACAAATAGTATTGTCACCTTAGAAAGTTCCCTCATGTTTTTTCAGTTAGTCTCTACCCCTTCCTTCCCGTATGTAACCACTGTTGTGATTTTTCCTAACGTAGATTAATTTTACCTGTTCTGGGACTTCATGTAAATGGAGTGATACACTATGTACTCTTACGTGAGGCTTCTTTCATTGAGGATCATTTTTTTGAGATTCATTCATACTATTTCTTGCATCAGTAGTTTGTTTCTGTTTAACATTGCATTGTGTGGGAATACCGAGTTATTTGTCGGTTTTCCTGATGATGGACACCTGGGTTGTTTCTAGTTTTTGTTTATGAATAATAAAGCTGCTATGAATATTCTTTTTTCGGAGTATCTTTTTTTTTTCAACTTGATTTTTTAAAATGTGTTCTATTTATATCCAACTTGTATATAGATCACTGTTACCCAGCAGTATCTTCCATAGTCTCCCCTTTTGTGTATAGCTGGAAATATCATAGTGTATTTAAAAAGACATCGAGCTAGTCTGGGCGTGGTGGTTCATCACGGCTATAATCCTAACACTTTGGGAGGCCAATGTGGGTGGATCACCTGAAGTTTGAGACCAGCTGGCTAATATGGCGAAACCCTGTCTCTACTAAAAGTACAAAAATTCGCCAGGCATAGTCATGCATACCTGTAATACCAGCTACTCAGGAGTCTGAGGCAGGAGAATCACTTGAACCCAAGAGGCTGAGGTTGCTGTGAGCCAGGTTGCGCCACTGCACTCTAGCCTGGGTGACACAGTGAGACTCTATCTCAAAACAAAACAAAACAAAAAGACATTGAGCTAGAAAATCTAGCAGGGAGTATCCTAATCTTCGTATTCCTACTATAGGGTCTTTGGTAAATACTCTTTATTCTCTTTTTCATTCCTGTAAGAGGGATTCAGTATAATGTCATATCAGTTTCATCTTAAGTACCTCTCTGGAGTAATCTCTTGAGGATTAGAAGCTATATCAGGCCTAGCAAAAATCACTTCTGTGATGAGTTAACTAGTAAAATTTCCATGGAGCACTTATTAGGTATTTGCCATTCTTGGACCAGTCCAGTCTTAAGCTTTTTGCTGTTTTATGATTCTGCTGCAATTTGAGACTAGTTCATTTTTACTTGAGTTACCAAATCTTCTCAAATGTTTTTCTCTTCTTTCCCTAGAAAATGGAATCCTGATGGAATTTCTTAACCTTGAGCTAACATTTTTGTGTTTTTTACTTAACTCTCTATAGATCAATTCTAGTTTCTGATAACACTATCAATCATTTATCATTTCTCCTCATGATGTTGGTTTCAAAAGTCTCAGCTTTACCTTCTTAATTATGTCATTCCTTCCTTTATCTCTTTACTTCAGAACCTTGTAAATAACCTTGATTTAGATAGGGATCAGATTTTAATTTTTATGTTATTTTTGTCCATCTATTTTCAATTAAAATTTTGAATTATATCAAAGCTTGGGACATTTGTCTCCCTCTTTGTTGGTTATGATGGTAAAGAAAATGTGACATAGACACGATGACATAGATATGGTGAAGAAAAGAGTGTGATTACATAATCAAAGTGAAATTATACTGTTTTTTTTAAATGTCAGTCTTCAGGATGTGGCAGAAAACTAGATACATGTTTAAGCAAAACCATGTACAAAGATACTGTGTGGCTTAAAAAGATTACAAAGTATATTTATAAGGAAAAAGGTTTCCTTTGGGTACATTATCAAATTTAGTAAGGCCAAAAGAGGTTGCAGGAGCTTATGTTTTAAGACTGCTTTAGTATAAATTAAATTTTTCAAAAATTGGTTGTGTTCCAGGCAACAGTGTTAATTTTCTGAATTCCAAAATGTCTGCCCTCTTATTATAGTGCCTCATCATAGCTCTTCAACAAAGTAACTTAGCCCTCATGAAAATAATAACTAACACCTGGATGCTCTGGACTGGAGCAACAGTTCTGTAACCTCAGATTTTAGGTCTTGGGAGAAAAAAAAGCACTTTTTAGTTACTCTGTGGCCAGAGGCTAAGTCATTATGGTTCTAGATCCATGCATGAATAATCATTTCTGTGTGCAAAGATTATGCCATTTTCAGAGTTTACATAGTGACAATGTCTATTCCTCCAACCCCTGTAATTTCATCTTTTTAAATGTGTCATATAGTTTAATGTTTCTCATTTAATTCATTAATCCAGGAAACTTTTGTAAAGCCCTTGTGCAGTTTCTAGATGCTGGGAAAACACATGACTAAAACATAATTTCTGCCCTTCCCAGAGCTGGCAATACAGTGAGGAAACAGAAGTACAAATAACAATAAAATGAGAGCTATGGAAACTCTAAAGATTGCTTACTTGTGCCTAGAGTGGGGCAGAGGCAGCTTCTTAACAATGAAGGGTTTGGAATCACCACATAGATAGGCAGGACTTCGCTTGTGAAAAGAATAGCATATGTGAGAGGGTGAAAGAGAGAACACATGAAGAAATGAACCTTTTGAGGTAAAGTTGGAGTGGAAGTAAGATTGAAATATCAACAGGAACTTTTGCTTGCCAAAAGATGGAATTTAATTAGAGTATTAGAATGACAGTCACAATTTTTAACTGGATCACTTTGGCAATAGTGGGGAAGGATTTGAAGGGAGCAAAATTGGGATACAGGAGATCGGTTTAGGCAAGAGTTAAGCATCAGAAATGTAGTGGCAGTGAGTCTGGAGAGGACAGTGAATTTAAGAGTTATTTAGAAGTGAAGATGGAGGGACAACAAGTAGTTATCAATTACTTAAATTTCTGGCTTTGGTGTCTAGGGAAACAGGTACAATAAGAGGGTGATAATCACTTAGTGAAACTTTTTGTGATTGCACTAAGCAAGAAGAATTATATAGGTTTCTTAAGACAGTGTTGTATATCAAACTATTAGATACTGTTGATTTTTATACCTCCATAATCTTATTTTTAAAAACGAAATGGTAAAAGAATATTAAATATAGGAAACTAGAAGTAGAAGTATTTAGCAAAGCTAGGATTGTGCAGGTTAGTTATTTTGGTTTATGGATTCTTAACTTATGTTTTAGAAGTATGTTTAGCCTTTTGCATACTTAATCCTTTGCTGATAAAGTCAGATTATGGTAAATTTTAAATTGGCCTGTTTTGGAGTTCATTAAATCATTAAAAAATTTTAATTATATTTTTAATGAAAAAATTACATTTACATAGAAAAGTATCAAGAAAAATTATCTTGTATGTTTTGAAGTTAAAAAAAAGATTAGCTTGAGGCAGGCTTAGTTTAGTTTTCTTTACCCAAATAATTGTACTATTTGAATACAGATTTTTCTCACTACCCTTATAGTAACTAACTTGGAAAAAAAGGAGGAGACCAGCCTGGACAACATAGGGAGACCCTGTCGCTACAAATAATAAAAAAATTAGCTGAGTGTGGTGGCACACAACTGTAGTCACAGCTAGTCTGGAGTCTAAGGTGGGAGAGTCACTTGAGCTAAGGTGTTCGCTATTAGGGTGAGCTATGATTATGCCACTGCATTCCAGTCTGGGCAACAGAATGAGTCGTTGTCGCCAAAAAAAAAAAAAAAAAGAAAAGAAAAAAACAAGGATTTGTGATTATGTGAGAGGTTAGGCACAAGACGGGCTTCTCTTACCTTAGTAGAACAAAATAAGGTGAAGAGAATGTTGGTACACTTGAGGCAGTGGTCCACAGTGTGGAGATCCTGCTGAGGAGTGAAAAATAAGAATAAGCCAGGATATAACTATTGGTTTAGTCTTATGTTCTGGTTCTTTTTTTTGTTGAAACACTAGTTTATTTTAACTAAAACTTAAGGTTTATTTTCTATCCTTCCTTTAGAACGTATAATGAAGAAAACAGAATCTGAGTCTGAATCACAAGTGGAGCCTGAAATTAAGAGGAAAGTACAACAGAAGCGGCACTGTAGTACCTATCAGCCTACTCCTTTATCTCCTGCTTCAAAAAAATGTTTAACCCATTTGGAGGTAAATAGAGAAATTATTCTTTGTTGCTAATCAGATTGTGTTTTTATTAATATTAGTTTTAGTACTTATTAAATTCTAGGTGATCTTTTATCATAGGACCAGAAGAGACCTGAAAAGTTATTTATGTGAACTGTTCTGCCTTTAATAAACCATTTTTATACTTGTGCAAAATAAGAATTTATTTTTCTGTAAATAATTTATCAGTGCTTTCCTGCAACATACTTCAAATGATTGCTGTCTACCAGAAATTTTTTCAAATAATTTTAAGTTGAAAACTTAAAAAAATAGAAGAAAGAACATTTATATATTTATCTCCCAGATTTCTGGTTTTTCACGTTTGCTTTATTGTTCTTTCTCTCTATGCCTTTTTTCTTTCTTCCTCCCACCTGTCCATAAATATGTGTATGTGTATTTTTTATACTCTTTGAGTTGAAGTTACAAGCATGATACCCATTTATAAAAATCACACACTTCAGTATTAAATGGTAAACTTTAATACTTGTGTGTGTGATTTTTATAATCAGAGTACAACTGTCAAAATCTCAAAATTAACATTGATGCAAAATTACCATCTAATCCACAAACCCCATATAATGTCCATTATGAGTATAGAATTCAGTTCAGAGTCATGTGCTGCATTGATTTGACATGAATTTTTAGTCTTTTTCAATAGGAATAATTTCATAGTCTTCCCTTATTTTTCATAATCTTGGTATTTGTTGAGGAGTACAGGACACTTTGTGCCTCAAATTGGATTTGTCTGGTGTTTCCTAATGATAAATGTGGTTTTCAAGAATGCCTCAGAATTGATCCTATAATCTTACTGCATTGTATCAGGAGACACTTGATGTTAATTTTCATATTAATGTTATTTTACCTTAGTTAAGATATTCTAGATTTCTTCACTGCAACATCAGCTAATAGGTATTTTTACTAATTTATTAATAAGATGTCTAACATCAGCTAAAGATATTCCTTATCCCAAATTTACATATTCATTTAAATCAGCATGTACATATGAATTGTTATTTTACTCAAAAGTGTTATAGTCTGGGTTATGGTCTATAACTTTCATGATGTTTCAAGACTTACCTTGATTCTCAAATTGTTCCAGATTGGGTCCATATGAATCCCTTCAAGCTGGCCTCTGTTTTTTTTTTTATTGTTGTTATTGTTTTGACATGTCTTTATCATTCTTTGATGACATTCATGACATTTACTTTATTGCTTTTTAGTATAACATGATGATCTTACTTATCTTGTATTTATTTATTTTTTTTAGATGGAGTCTCGCTCTGTCACTCAGGCAGGCTGGAGTACAGGGACACAATCTCGGCTCACTGCAGCCTCCACCTCCTGGGTTCAAGCAATTCTCCTGTCTTAGCCTCCAGAGTAGCTGGGACTACAGGTGCATGCCACCACACCTGGCTAATTTTTGTATTTTTAGTAGAGATGCAGTTTCACCATGTTGGCCAAGCTGGTCTTGAACTACTGACCTCAGGTGATCCACCCACCTTGTCCTCCCAAAGTGCTGGGATTACAGGTGTGAGCGACTGTGACTGGCAGTTATCTTGTATTTCTGTCTCAGCCCTAGAGTCATGCATCTCTCCAAGGAGCCATGCATCCAAAGAGAAGGAATCCCTCCTTTAAGTGGAGGGAACATATTTGGGCACTAGTTACATTCATTCATACTGGATATTGTTTCTAGGCCTTCTCAGTGGACAAAGCTAAGATATACATATATATGTATTAATATTTAATGCATACTAGAATCATGAGTTCACATTGATAACTAATTCTAGTCCAACACCACCATGTTTAATTTTTTTTCTGTGTTGCATGTTTGCAACTTCCTTCCCCAGAAGTGATTAACTTGACTCCCATTACCACCAGTGTATTTACCTGTTAGCTTAGTTTTTCTTTATGTGATAATGTCCTGGCATGCCAGCCTAAGTTTGACTCAGGCCATACTGACATCACCTACTGCTTAACCTAGATAAAGGAAGAGGAAAGCTCCTACCCAGATACAACATCTTTCGCCCAGTGGTCATGCAAAAGATACTGTATCTAAATGTTGTATCTTTCTTTTTTCAGTTTTTATTTTTTTAAGTTGGGGGGGGGTACACCCACAGGATGTGCAGGTTTGTTACATAGGTAAATGTGTGCCATGGTGGTTGCTGTACAGATCATTGCATCACCTAGGTATTAAACACCACAATACTTTTTTTTGATGATTATAATAAGTCTTCCTTCTTTTACTCTACTCCTGTGCCAATTGTTCTTTATTTCTTCTTAGTGGAAATAAAGAATTGTAGCCAGCCTCTATGTAATCTTTAATTCCTGGACAAGGTTAGTGGTTGTTCTTCCCATGTATAGTCTGAAATTCTACACTGTTTACCACTTGTAAGAAAAAATATCTGTGGACTGGGTGCAGTGGCTCACACCTGTAATCCCAGCATTTTGGGAAGCCAAGTCAGGTGGATCACCTGAGATCAGGAGTTTGAAACCAGCCTGGCCAATGTGGTGAAACCTCATCTCTACTAAAAATACAGAAATTAGCCAGGCATGGTGGCAGGCGCCTGTAGTCCCAGCTACTTGGGAGGCTGAGGTGGGAGAATCTCTTGAACCCTGGAGGCGGAGGTTGCTGTGAGCCGAGATAGCGCCATTTCACTCCAGCCTGGGCAACAAGGGTAAAACTCCGTGTCCAAAAAAAAGAGAAAGAAAACAAGATAATTTAGTGGGATTAACATCTTTAGGATATTTAATACAAATGACATAGTCACAAAGACAGACTTATTGAGTGCTGTTGGTTGTTTATGGGTAGTGTCTTAGAAACAGTACATGATATGTAATTTAGAATTAATTCAATTTTGTAAAAAGTCTTCCACTTCTACTGACCAAAGCAGAAAATGAGATTTTAATCAGTTTTTTTTCTTCAATTTTTTTTTGTTTGGAGAGATGGAGTGTCACTGTGTTGCCCCGGCTGGTCTCGAACTTTTGGCCGTAAACAGTCCAGCTTCCTCAGCCTCCCAAAGTGTTGGGATTACATGCCTGAGCCACCATGTCCAGGTTTAGCCAATTTTTGTTTTACAAAAAAAATTATACTTAACATAAAATTTTTATGACAATGCATTACTTTACAGTATTCTCTACTAAAACTAATGGAGCAGTATTAAGATTCTAGTTTTTAGAGAATTAGGTTGATCAAATGTTAATCTCTAGGTGTTTTTTTTTTAAACAGATAAACCGTTTTTTTATTCATCCTCCTCTTCCTCCTCGTCTTCTTCATCTTCTTCCTCTTCCACTTTTTCCGGGCAACTTTAGCGGGACCCTTTGCACCATCAAACTTTCCTTTCGACTTATAGTCAGCAACATCCTTCTCATACTTCTCCTTCAGCTTTGCCGCCTTAGTGATGTAAGGCTGCTTTTCACTGTCATTTAGGTTATTCCACATCTCACCCAGCTTTTTTGCCACGTCTCCAATAGAGATGCCAGGGTTTGTGGATTTGATCTTGGGGCGGAATTCTGAGCAGAACAGGAGTAAGCCATACGGTGGTCTTTTGGAGGCATTAGGATCCTCCTTCTTCTTGCCTTAGCTGGTCCATAATCCTTCATTTCCCGATCACGGTGCACTTTATCCGCCTTTGCCATTTCATCAAATTTAGATTTCTCTTTCCTGGACATTGTCTTCCACCTCTCAGAGCATTTCTTGGAAAATTCTGCAAAATTGACAGAGACCGCTGGGTTTTTCTTCTTATGTTCTTCTCTGCGCGCCTGCACAAAGAAGGCCAAGGCAGACATCTTGCCCTTTGGTTTCTTGGGGTCACCTTTAGCCATCCTGACATCTGGTGGGCCCAGACCAGGGCAGCCACAGCCAGCCCAGCCCTAATCTCTCGATTTCATCATGAAAATTTTATCTTGTTCAGTTTAGTGTATGTACATTTTGTTCCTCATTCTCAATAGAATTCCAAGATACATGTTTCTTATCTGATGGAAGGCATATGGTAATAGCTCAGAACATATTTCTTTCCATATTTTAATATTGGGGATTTTAATAGTAGGAATGTGCTTTTTCTGTTTTAGTATCAGTTTTATAAGAGGAAATAGCCCTTTCTCTGGACTTCTTTTCATTTAGATATGCCGTCTTTACCTTTATTATAGTACTCAGCTTGATCTATCCTTAGATTCTTGGAGACAGAATTATTTTATATATAGCTGACTGCTAGACTAGATTGTCTTGAAAATTTCTTTCAGCATGTTCATGTTAAATTCCAACTAACATCACTTATTTAGGGTCTCATGGTAGCCATGATGGTAATGATGGGGAAAGAGGGACTTAATTTTGAGACTTTTGAGGGGATTTCTTAATGATGTAATAAATGCCAAAATCTTTTATTTCTTTTGTTATTTTGGAACTTTAAGTTTCGGAGAACTGTGAATGTTGTTCAAAATGTGGGAAAAAAGAGAAAATCAGACCAAATACCAAAGTTGTGGTGTTCTTTTTTCTAAGGATTTGCAAAGAAATTGCAGACAAGCTATTACTTTGAATGAGTCTACTGGACCATTATTAAGAACATCAATTCATCAGAATTCTGGAGGACAGAAGTCACAAAACACAGGATTAACAACCAAGAAGTTTTATGGCAACAGTGTAGAAAAGGTTCCAATTGATATTATTGTGAATTGTGATGAAAGTAAACACAGTTATTTACAGACTAATGGAAAAGTCATTTTACCTGGGGCAAAAATACCCAAAATCACAAACTTGAAAGAAAGGAAAACATGTTTGTCAGACCTAAATGATCCAAGTAAGTATTTTACTCCCTTCAGTATTGCTCATATCAATCCAATATTTTTCAGATATATTTTTTACAAACACTATCTCCCACCCATATATATTTTTAATATGAGTGTGAGCCTAAAACTAATCTTGTTCTCATCCTGTTCATCTCAAATAGTTTTAAAAAACGCAGACCTTGACCCTAGTGTTAGATGAAATGCCAGTTATACCCAGCATTCTGACTTCGGCCAGATTAATTTAGTCTTTCTGATCAGTATATGGGTACATTTCCTGCTGATAGTGGGTTTTTTTGCGGGGGAGCGGGGGGAGACGCGAATAAAATAACGTAATATGCATAGCCCAATAAAATATTTGATATATAATTTCCTTGCCAAATTTGTTTCTAAATCTATATCCTGTCTTTTTACTCTAGTGTATATGTTTGTGCCATGCAATTCTTGTTTATAATAAATAGCAAAAGATTAGAAACTATTGGGGACTGGTTGACTAGAGTATACAGTAGTAGTAAAGGAGTGAAATATCTCATATACTGTGTAGAATGATTTCCAGGATCTTTAAGTGAATAATGCAGGCTACAGATAAGAGTGTATATGGTGGAGAATGAATGTAATTTCTTTTAAAAAATAGAAACTGGGAGGCTGAGATGGGCGGATTACAAGGTCAGGTGATCAAGACCATCCTTGCTAACACAGTGAAACCCTGTCTCTACTAAAAATACGAAAAATGAGCCAGGTACAGTGGCACAGGCCTGTAGTCCCAGCTACTCGGGAGGCTGAAGCAGAAGAATAGTTTTAACTTAGCAGGCAGAGGTTGCAGTGAGCTAAGATCACACCCCTGCACTCCAGCCTGGGCAACAGAGACTCCTTCTCAAAAAAAAAAAAAAAAATTAGGAGACTGAGATGAGAGCATTGCTTGGGTCCAGGAGTTGAAGTGCAGCCAGAGCAGTATAGCAAGACCCTGTTGCTAAAAAATAATAATTGTAAATAGAACACTAGGCTTCCCTTTTAATATATACTTTTATAGTTTTTCATTAGAAATATAGTTCATGGGCCTTTTTAAAAAAGCTAAATCCAGGCCGGGCACAGTGGCTCACACCTGTAATCCCAGCACTTTGGGAGGCCGAGGCTTGCAGATCACCTGAGGTCAGGAGTTTGAGACCAGCCTGGCCAACATGGTGAAACCCTGTCTTTAAAAAAAAAAAAAAAAAGAAAGCTAAATCCATGTGTATACACACACATTTGTATGTATACATTTATCTGTATATGTCAGGTACTGCACTAAGCATTTTACATACCATTTGTTCCTTGCAACAATTCAAGATGCCCTTATTGTCCCTAATTCTATGGAGAAGAGAAATTGAGCCAGTTAACTAGTAAGTGGCAAAACCCCGCCTCTCAAATGCTATATATGCAAATCTGTTTAGATCATCTAATCTGGCCTGTTAGGTTTTCTGCTAATAAAAGACCAGTGATAAAAGAGAAACCATGCTCGGTATTTGTTCCTCAGACTGGACAGTAAAATAAAAAACACAGGTAAAGAAGTACTGAGATGATGCTTCTCTGGGACGTGTACATTACTCAGTAAATATTAACGAAGCGTTTATGTGTGAAATACTCATTAAAAAAATTGCTCCTTACAAGTTCATGCATTCTTTAACGAGACTTTTAAATGCTTTTTCTGTGACAGGCTGTTTTAAGCCTGGGAATATAGCAGTGGACAAGACAATGTTCCTGTTCTCTTACAGTCTGTGTGTAGCAGGGAGAAACATAAAAGCAAGTGAACATCTACAACAAAAAACAACAGAAAATTTAAATCAGTTAATCTGACTGTACCTGTGCTTACTTTAGATTGGGTCATCAATCAAAGTGATATTTAAACTTATACCTGTGGCCAAAATGCATAATATTGAGGGAAGTACAATTCAGGCAGGAGCAAACTTGAGGTGTTTGAGGGACAGAAATACTGGCTAATATGCCTGGAGGATAAAGAGAGAAAAGCAGAATATTATAAGAAAATTGGACAAATAGGGGCCAGATTATGTACATTTATAAACCATAGCAAGAAGTTTGTATTTGAGTCAAATTAAGATATAAGAGAGATTTGCCTGTGATTCAGTAACGAGTACAAGGTATAAGAGCAAATTACCATCATATTGTCTTTTGCCCATGTCCATTTACTCAACAAGACTTACTGAGCATTAGGTACTGGTCCACATTCTTCCAGAGACCAGTTACAATTTTAATAACTTCCTGTGTGAGATAAAATTACTTGGCAGTGGCCAGGTGCAGTGGCTTACTCCTGTAATCCCAGCACGTTAGGAGACCAAGACAAACAGATCTCCTGAGGCTGAGACCAGCCTGACCAACATGGCGGGAACCCCATCTCTACTAAAAATACAAAAAGTAGCTGGGCATGGTGGCATATACCTGTAATCCCAGCTACTCGGGAGGCTGAGGCAGGAAAATCACTTGAACCCAGGAGGCGGAGATTGCAGTGAGCTGAGATTGTGCCACTGTACTGCGGCCTGGGTGACAGAATGAGACTCCGTCTCAAAAAAAGAAAAATTATTTGACTACATGGAGTTTCACACATATTTACAATGCATACTATTTTGCAAACAAGTTATATGCAAATTATTTTTTACATGTTAAACTTTTTGGGACTCTGAAATAGACCCACTGATAAATATGTAATTCTTCTTGTAACTTGCTGATACTGCTGTTGGGGTGAGTGGTGATGGACTGTAGAATCAAATTTTATATTTGTATAATATTTTTTAAAAGATGCCATGTCTTAGGACTTTCTTCAGATTTAAATTTTCATCAAAGTTCATTGTATCTTCATTCATTTTTATTATTCTTAGATCTGGAGGAGAGCCAAAGCAAATTTGGTATATTTTCCACTTTGGTAATTTATTTGCATTTTTAATGGACAGAGATGAATATAAATAGGCCGGGTGGGTAGCTTACGCCTGTAATACCAGCACTTTGGGAGGCCTAGGTGGGTGGATAACCTCAGGTCAGGAGTTCGAGACCAGCCTAAACAAAGTGGAGAAACTCCATCTCTGCTAAAAAAGAAAAAAAATCCAAAATTAGCAAGATATGATGGTGCATTCCTATAATCCCAGTTATGTGGGAGGCTGAGGCAGGAGAATCACTTGAACCCAGGAGGCAGAGGTTGTGGTGAACCAAGATGACACCATTGCACATCAGCTTGGGCAACAAGAGCTAAGCCTTGTCTCAAAAAAAAAATTATATAGTTTTAATATAAATTATAAATTATTAAAATACTTTTAGTTATTTTGTCCAGTGATGATGATGATGACAGCGACAGAACTAACAGAAGAGAGAGCATATCTCCTCAGCCTGCTGATTCAGCATGTTCTTCCCCGGTACCATCCACTGGAAAAGTAGAAGCAGCACTGAATGAAAATACTTGCAGGATAGAGCATGAACTACGAAGCATTCCAGAAGACTCAGAGTTAAATACAGTTACATTGCCAAGAAAAGCAAGAATGAAAGACCAGGTACTTTTCACATTTGTTGACATTTGTTCAGATTAATGCCTCCATTTTGGGGTGTAAATTTTCTTTAGGAGGCAACTTGATATGTCAGGAGAAAAAGATGGATTATTCATTAAGTAGGGCTTAAATACCATGTAGGAGATTATTTGGAAGAACACTTAGCCATATACAAAAATAAGTTTCAATTAAACTTAAGTTTTAAAGTATAAAAAATTCATCAGGAAAACACAGTATCAACCTTACAATGAAATGTCAGTATATACAAAGATTTGTTGTAAAATCTAGCAGAGAGAAGTTACCTTAACATGGATATATTTTACTGTAAAAGTTTCAGAGGCCGGACGTGGTGGCTCACGCCTATAATCCAAGCACTTTGGAGGCCAAGGCGGACAGATCACCTGAGATCGGGAGTTCAAGACCAGCCTGACCAACTTTGTGAAACCCCGTTTTTATTCTAATTAAAAAAAACAAATTTCAGATAGTTCACATGGAAAAAAGTAATATGAACGATGTCAATAAACGATAGATCTAGAACAAATATTTGTAATAAATATGATATACATTTTAATGTCTATAATAGACTAAGAACTCATAAAAGGATAAAAATTAAATGAACAAAGGATAAGAATATACAAAAACAGAAAATGTAGTAAACTACCACATGAAAAGCACAAATTAAGAAAAATGAAATGTAACTATATTCAATAGACTTAAAAAATGGTTATGAAATCAACTAATACGTGCTGTTGTCAAGAATCCAAGGGAGAGCATACTTTCTCAGTTTGCTGATAGAAAAGAAAATTACTATGGCCTTTTGGGAAAGAAATGTAAAAATAACTATTAAAAAAATTTTTAGTGTATACTATTTGACCAAATAGTTAATTCCTTTGACTCTGCCTCACAAGTATTCCTCTTTTCCCCAGTACGTAAGGCTTTATATGCAAACATGATCATTGATGCAAACAACTACAAACAAAGTCATTGCCTATTAATATGTGTATGGCTGGAGAAGTTATAGTATATCCATATGATCCAGCCATTGAAAATGGAAATTAGAACTTATATCAGTGACTTTTAGGATTTCTGCATGGCGCTGTTAAGTGAGAATACCAAAATAGGGAAATATATATATATTACTTTAGTAAAAATGTTTTTATAAAATAATAAACTTGTATGTTAAATTCTGTATGTATGTGTTTATACGTGTCAGTGGTTATAGGAATACAGATAAAAATATGGCAACATATGTACTTGGTTGTTAAGATGGGAACCTTAAAAAATGAAAAACAAGAAGCAATCATAAGGGCAATAGAAAAATATATGGATTTATTTAAATCTTAATTAAGGGGGGTCTCGCTCTGTCACTCAGGCTGTGATTACAGGTGCAAGCCACTGCCCCCAGCTGGGTTAATTAATATTTTTATGTAATCTGACAGAATGCCTTTCCAACATGGCAGTACAAGCGAAAATAGTAAATGAAAAGATGAATATATTTGATGAGATAAAAAGTAAAACAGTGTGGCAAAACACCACTCTAAGCACAATTTGATAGGTAGATGCAAATGGAAAAATAGTGAGCTATGTGACAAAGTATAAAGTGGTTCTTTATATATTTTTAATTGTTTAAAAAAGAAATAGAGACCCCAAAACCTATAATCCAATAAAAAATTAAAAAAAAAAAAAAAAAAAAAAAAGAAATAGAGGCAAACCATAAGGAAAGAAACCGAATAAGATTCAAAAAAATGTAGTAATCCTCATAGTGAAAATGAAATTAAAATGCCTTTTGGTAACTGCAGATTGCTCAAAATTTTCAAACTATGATGTTATCTCATCTTGATCAGTGTTTGGAGAAGTGGAATGTTGAGTGTATTAGTTGATATAACTTAGAACTGTTGAGAGCAATTGGCAGTAATTCTAACTGTGTACCACAATTAGAATTAAAATTCTAATTTTAATTAGACTCAGAAATGCTCTTTGAAGAATAGTTTGCTATGGCAAAAGGTTGGAAAGAATTCAGATGTCCAAATATGAGTACAGTTAAATGAGTGATGAATTTCTATGTAATGGAATTTTTAGGTGAGCGTTTTTCAGACCGGCACACTGAATCATAAGGGTACTTCAGTGTGTACTCTTTTCGATGATGTTCTATGGAGGGTGTGGACCATTCAAATTCTAGACTAAATCCTTCATTGTGGATTCAACTGCAGCAGCTCTTACTGTTTTATTAGAGAGCTAAATAACCTCTCATTTGAAGATGTAACTCTACCACTAAAATCAAAACAAAGGAAAACAAAACACTTAAACCTAACAGGTTTCTTTTAATAATAAGGGAAAATAGGTCAGGTTCAGTGGTTTATGTGGTAATCCCACCACTTTGGGAGGCTGAGGCAAGCAGATTGCCTGAGGTCAGGAGTTTGAGACCAGTCTGGCCAACATGGTGAAACCCTGTCCCTACTAAAAATACAAAAAAATGAACCTGGCGTGGTGGTGTGCACCTGTAATCCCTGCTACTTGGGAGGCTGAGGCAGGGGAATTGCTTGAACCAGGAAGGTGGAGGTAAGCCGACACCGTGCCACTGTATTCCAGCCTGGGCAACAGAGCAAGGCTCCATCTCAAAAAATAATAATAAGGGAAAGTGTTAATGATAAATCTGTTAATAAGCCTGAAAAAGCAGGTTACAGAATCATACATATATGATGATGATATTTTGTTTTAAATACGTATTTTTTCCTGTGACATAGATCGTAGAAATGCCTTTAGAAGGATAATAGGAATGGTGGACATTATTTTCCCTTGTTTTCTGTCAAGATAATGTTTTATTCTTTCGATGATAATAAAGATACTAATATAATTACTTTTAATTAAAATAATATACCTATATAAAATGTTTATGATTAATTTCTATTTGGAAGTGACTGGAATCGTAATTTAACAGATGAAGTAGTTTAAATATGTAAATATATAAAGAGGGCTTCTTGTGTAATGTGAATAATCACTTCCCTAAATTGCTTGCTTTCTAAAGAATTGCTGATTTAATTCAAAGTATACCACTGCCATTATAACTAGCAGCATTTTACTGTGAATGAAGCACTCTGCTAAATTGCTTTTTATGCATTAACTCAGTTGAGTAGATACTCTTACTCTGCTTATTTTACAGTTTAGGAAACTAAAATTTATGCAAGTTATTTAGTTTTACTAGATTGGATCTTTGAAAAGTGGTGTGGCTGTTAGAATCCCAGCAGTCTGATTCCTAGAGTACTATTCCTGATTGACATACTGTGACTCAAATTTAAATAATAACTAAGTTAAATAAGATACAAGGATTTGCTGTTATATAAAAACCATGAATGTTTGTTTTATCTAACACTGTTGAAGGAAAATCCATTTTATGTTGTGATATTTATATTTCTTATATTGGGTCTTTGCATATTTGTATACTTGCAGCCTTGTTTTAGTAAATTATTAAGTGAAAATTTTCTTTTCCTTTTTAGTTTGGCAATTCTATTATCAACACACCTCTAAAACGTCGTAAAGTGTTTTCTCAAGAAACTTCAATTGATCCTTTATCTTTAAGCTGCCAAAGTTCCTTTGACAGTGTCATTTTAAACTGTCGAAGTATCCGAGTAGGAACACTCTTTCGACTATTAATAGAACCTGTAATTGTAAGTATATTCTTAAGCTCTTAACTGTACCAATTATAACATTAAAAATTCCATTGTTAAAGCTAATATATAATCAAAATTTATAAATTAAAATATTTAATAGAATATCAAAATCAGCTCAAGATTTCACATTGCTTTAAGAATATATAAATAGTAGCTCCTCACCATTAAAATGAGTTAGAAAACCTTCCGATATGTTATTGTTTTATTATCATGCCAACTTAGTGCATGGAACTCTCGATGGGTTAGAAAACTTTCCAATATGTTACTGTTTTATTATCATGCCAGCTAAGTACTTGAAAATAATATATTAAATAACTATAGTGAGAGATTGAAGATTCCAGAAGCTTTGGGGTCTGCTGGAAAATTTATTATAGCATCAAGACCCCTAGAAACAGATTACTGTACTATAATAGTTACCCAAAAGGCACTGTGCATTAGACTAGTTCGTTGTCCACAGTGCCCAGAGGACTTTGTGTACTTTATCTTACCCATCATACCTGTGTACTTAGTATTCTTCTTCCACCAATCCAAGTTTTTATTTTCTGTTTGAAATTTTAATATAATCTCCTTAACTAGCCCTCTTAGTCATCATTCTTCTCTCTAATGTGTGCTAAACATTGTTGCTAGATTAATTGTAAAGCACTGTATTTATTCTGAAGCCTTTATTTCAGAATGTCTTAACCCAGTGTCCCCATTTGTTTCCAACTCTTATTTCAAACTCTGTCTCCTAACATTGTCCTTTGTATATAAAGCACTGTCTTTAAGAGAACTTAATTGCCGAGTGTGGTGGCTCGTGCCTGTAATCCCAGCACTTTGGGAGGCCAAGGTGGGTGGATCACAAGGTCGGGAGTTCAAGACCAGCCTGGCTAATATAGTGAAACCCCATCTCTACTAAAATTACAAAAATCAGCCATGCGTGGTGGCAGCATTGAGATTTTTAGGGACTATTTTTCAGTATCTCTATACCTGTCAAAGGGGGTGCTTTTCATCTAAAAGCTTAATTTTATAAAATTGACTTATTTTTCGAGACTAAAATTGTATATGCTTTTGGTAATTAGGAACTCTGAGTATACTGGCTGCTGATTGTTGCCATCACATTCTTACAAAATTACTCTTTTTCTATGGGATGTTCTGACAGCTAGCTACAATTTATTATGTAAGAAACTTAATACCCAAGCCTGTAATCCCAGCACTTTGGGAAGCCGAGGCGGGTGGATCATGAAGTCAAGAGATCGAGACCATCCTGGTCAATCAACATGGTGAAACCCCGTCTCTACTGAAAATACAAAAAGTTAGCTGGGCATGGCGGCACATGCCTGTAATCCCAGCTACTCAGGAGGCTGAGGCAGGAGAATTGCCTCCAGGAGGCGGAGATCGCGCTATTGCACTCCAGCCTGGGTAACAAGAGCGAAACTCCGTCTCAAAAAAAAAAAAAAAAGAAACTTAATACCAGTAAATGTTTTAAATCCTTTACCAGTTAGCATTAAATGTAACTATTTAGCTTTTGTTTAGGGATCTTTCTCAGGGTCTTTTATGAACAATCTTAGTTCTAAGTCATTGTTTCCATCTGTTTTTTGTATCAGTGTTTCAGAAAATAGTGAACTTAATTCCCCTGCTTCCACTAAATCCAGTTGTGACAAAATCTAACATGAGATCAAACCAAAAGGATATAGAAATAAAACTAATGAAGTCTTAAAAAAAAAAAAAAGTCCCAGCTGTTTGGGAAGCTGAGGCAGGAAAATAGCTTGAAAACCTGGGAGGCAGAGGTTGCAGTGAGCTGAGATCATGTTAGTGCACTCCAGCCTGGGTGACAGAGCGAAACTCTGTCTCAAAAAAAATAAAAGAGAGAACTTATTAACAGCAGGAAAGGTATAAGGTATTTTATTATCTAATGTAATGAATAATAACTTTTTTTTCTGGTAAAGGCTCATGGTTTTAGGATACAATATGATCAAAAGAAATAAAATTGTTTCTAGGAGCAAATGAAATGTGAACCTGATTTCTTAGCAAAGCACAGCTTTATGGGAATCCAGCGTGTTTTTCTTTTCCATCAAAAACCTTAAGCTTCCTACAATTTAAAAACTAGAAAGTTTCATGAGTACCATGGAAATTTAAAGCAAAATATATATGAAGTATCTACCCTTTATTGCCCAATAATATTGTAACATATGTCATTGTTTTTAGTGATTTATGAAATTTGTATTTTGTTACAGCCCTTGTTCTGCAGATTATCTTTCCTGGTTTCTGTCAATTAACAAAAGTGTCATTCTTTGTCACTTTATACCTTAACAATTTTCAGGAGTGCCCTGTAACTTTCATGGCTTTCTCCCACATTAACACTATTATTTATAATTCTTCAGTGTGATGAGTAAGGTTTTGCTGGTGATTTAGAGACATTTAATTAAAAAATTACATATTTAGTCTTAAAGCTATTTTTGAAGAACTGCATTAAATTTTGGATGAATTTTTTCCAGTAGGCTAAATATGCTTCAGTGAAGAAAAACCTTGTAAATTTAGTTAAAACAATAAAAGGCAGTATATGTAACATAAAATGTATCAGTTTAAACAATTATAATACTAAATGAAATATTCCAGCCAAAAAATATAATGTGGAAATTTGCAGTGTGTTGTTAACCTTAGTTGTAGCATGAGATTTTTTGCAAAGGGCATTCTTTATTGAAGAATAGTTGGTGCATCTAATCACACTTCTTTAGATGGTGTGATTAAAAAGATGATTGGTATTTTCTTTTTGAACATAGTTTCCTTATGTTTTGTAGTGAAATGATTTATCTGCCAAGTTATGATTAATCTGAGAAACAGGTTTTAAATATTTCACTATACTTAAGGTTTTATAAAATCCTATACTTGTTTATCATTAGATAATTTAATCATTTTAATTTGCTCAGTGATGTGATTGCCATTATTTAGAAGAGTCAATTTTATTTAAAAGCAAGCACTTTTCAAAAGAAGCAAATTGGCTTATGTTATTAAGAATACCACATATGCACAAATACAAAGCAGTCCCTCATTTTCAAATGTAAAGATGTAAAATCAAGGTTTTCATTTCAATTTAAATTTAGAAACTTTCACAATATAGGTGAAATAGACTCATGGCTACTTATGTTATTAATATTTATGTGCGATTTCGTTACACATTTCTCTTCTTTTTTTTGAGACGGAGTTTTGCTCTTGTTACCCAGGCTGGAGTGCAATGGCGCGATCTTGGCTCACTGCAACCTCCGCCTCCTGGAGACAATTCTCCTGCCTCAGCCTCCTGAGTAGCTGGGATTACAGGCATGCGCCACCATGCCCAGCTAATTTTTTGTATTTTTAGTAGAGACGAGGTTTCACCATGTTGACCAGGATGGTCTCGATCTCTTGACCTCATGATCCACCCGCCTCAGCCTCCCAAAGTGCTGTGATTGCAGGCGTGAGCCACTGCACCCGGCCCTACTTACACATTTCTAAATGACAAATATTTAGACATAACTTCCTTCAATTTCTTTATCTCATGCGACCACTTTATTTAAATGCTTTATGTCAACCAGGTGCAGTGGTTGATACCTGTAATCCCAGCACTTTGGGAGGCTAAGGCAGGTGGATCACTTGAGGTCATGAGTTCGAAACCAGCCTGGCCAACATGCCGAAACTCCGTCTCTACTAAAACTACAAAAATTAGTGGGGCATGGTGGCATGCATCTGTAACCCCAGCTACTAGGGAGGCTGAGGCAGGAGAATCACTGGAACCTGGAAGGCAGAGGTTGCAGTGAGCCAAGATTGCCCTACTGCCTTCCAGTTTGGATGACAGAGCAAGACTCTTTCTCAAATGAATTAATGAATGCTTTATGCCGTCATTATTGACACTTTTTAAATCAGCTAACAGTTTTCCAAAACATATAATGTCAACATCCATGTATGCTAGAATGTTTTGCAAGCTACCATACTCATTTTTTAAATGATGAAGTCTTTCTTTATTTCCCAGGCTGGAGTGCAATGCTGCAGTCATAGCTAACTAACCTTAAACTTCTAGGCACAAGCAATCACTCCACCTCAGTCTCCAGAGTAGTTGGGACTTAAAGGCACATGCCATCTATACCCAGCTATTTTTTTTTTTTTTTTTTTGAGATGGTGTCTCACTATTTTTGCCCAGGCTGGAGTGCAGTGGCACAATCTTGGCTCATTGCAACCTCTGCCTCCTGGGTTCAAGCAATTCTCCTGCCTCAGCCTTCCAAGTAGCTGGGATTACAGGTGCACACTACCACGCCTGGCTAATTTTTTTATAGTTTTAGTAGAGACCGGTTTCACCAGGTTGGCCAGTCAGGTCTCGAACTCTTAGGCACAAGCGATCCTCCCAGAATGCTGGGATAACGGTTAAAAGCCACCATTCCCTGCTGTTACTGATACTTGTGTACCCAGATAATGTGTTACTTTCCAGTGAAACCAGTTATCATACTCTTTTCAAACACATCACTAGAAAGTATGTTTAGAGAAATTCTAGACTTTGCAATTATTGTAGTAATTGCTAAATTTATTTTATATTTTCTTGCTTTCTTTTTTTGCATTATAAAAATCTTCAAACTGAAAAGTTGAAACAATTTTGCAATGAACATTTATATAACTGTCAGCTAAGTTCTAACATTAACATTTTATTGTATTTTCTTTCCATATATCTATTCATCCCTCTGTATGCTCATTTATCTTGTTTGTTTAATGCATTTCAAAGTACTTGCCTCCTTTTAACTTCTGTAAAATAATTAATTTAGGATGCATTAGGCTTAACATGTCTTTTCCACATTGAAATAATTAGTTAGAAAATTGCTATTTTGTAACCACCAGTAGTAACTAATTTAAGCAAGGACCTTCAATGGTTTTGAAAACCATTGAGTGAATGTCAAACCCCCATGTTTACCTGTACAACAGATCTGCATATATACCCCTGAACCTAAAATAAAAGTTTAAAAAAAAAGAAAAAGGAAAGAAAGAGTGATGGATGGAATGTGGCAAGATGTTAACAGTTTTAACAGTTAGTGAATGTGAATTTAGGTAAGGAATATTTAGGTGTTCATTGTAATGTTATGCCAACTTCTCTGTGGGATTTTAAGAGATGAATTGGTAATATAGTAAACACTCTTAAGTACTTGAACAAAAAAGTGAAGCCTGCCTTTCTTTATAAATCTAGATCAATACTAATTCGTCTTATTTTTTAGTTTTGTTTAGATTTTATCAAGATACAGCTAGACGGTAAGCTATTTTATGTCTTTTTACTCACTAAAGCTTTCTTTACACTTTAAAGCACTTTATAGAAATAAAAGATTAAATAATATTCATAGAGGTATATTAAGATGATTAGTTGTTACATGTATCTTCTTACCAAAGGGCATATATCTTGGTGTAATTTTGTTCAGTAATGTTATAGAGCCTCACTTTTTAGAACCCTTTCTTCATTTGGAAAAAGCAAAAAAGCTTCATTAAGGCAGTTACAAAGATTTTATTTCCCGTAAGAGCAATGATTTACAGAGCGTAATAAATATATGCTTACATTTAAACTTGTATTTCCTCACAATTTCTCCCATTCATTATATTACCCTCTTAAGAATTGATTACTTTTCTATTTCCATTTGTTTTCCTCCAGAACCAGACCATGATCCTGTAGAGATTATTTTAAATACCTCTGATCTAACTAAATGTGAATGGTGTAATGTCCGAAAATTACCTGTAGTGTTTCTTCAGGCAGTACCAGCAGTTTATCAAAAGCTGAGCATGCAACTGCAAATGAATAAGGAGGATAAAGTTTGGAATGATTGTAAAGGAATAAATAAATTAACAAGTAAGTTGTGTAAAACAGATAATAGATAACTATAATAGATACTGTATTTACAATATTTGTTGAATAGCAAAATGTCAGTGCACTTTGACAAAAGCCTTAGATGTATATTATCTACAATTCTCACAGCTACCTTGTCAAATAGATATTACTTTCTCCACTTTACAGATGAGGAAAAACTCACAGAAAGTGGAAGGGCTGAAGATAAAATGCATACTTACTTAGAAAGTTTCTAAGTGGGCTGGGCACAGTTGCTCACACCTGTAATCCCAGCACTTTGGGAGGTGAGGTGTGTGGATCACCTGAAGTCAGGAGGTCAAGACCAGCCTGGGCAACATGGTGAAACCTCCTCTCTACTAAACATACAAAAATTAGCTGGGCTTAGTGGCGCATGCCTATAATCCCAGCTACTCAGGAAGCTGAGGTAGGAGAATCATCTGAGCCCAGGCGACGAAGGTTGCAGTGAGCCCAAGATTGTGCCGTTGCACTCCAGCCTGGGCGACAGAGTGAGACTCCATCTCAAAAAAAAAAAAAAGAAAGAAAGTTTCTAAGTGGATCAGAACCCAAAACATCTATACCCTTAACAAACACTGCAATCTGAGTAATATAAAAATTTTTAACTGTTGGGAATATTAAGTGTAAATCAGCCATATAAATCTGGAAATCTTGAAACTTGGCCTGAATAGGAAGTTAAGTTCATAAAATGGGCCTTAAGTCTTTATAATGTGTAGATGTGATTCTCCAGTTTCTTTTCCTTCATCTTTAACACAGCATGGCTTGACTGCTTGGAAGATAAACACATTTCAGCAGTAATTGCTATTTCAGCTTAATTATGAATAAATGTTAGCTACCACCAAATCTGCAAGAGTTGGCACATTAGTGAACAGCTGTTTTGCAGTTAAATTCTCTTAAGATACTACCAGTGCACTTGGCAATTTCTTATTTGTATTGGACAACAATGTTAACTATTATATATTTAAGACTATAGATTTACATTTATTAGATGAAGTAAATTAGTTACATCGTGAATAGATTTGTTCTAGAACTGAATAATGTGTCTGCTTCCTTCCTTCTAATAACTTAGGTGACCTCGACATGTAACACACACTGGTCTTCCCAGTGTTTGTTGTGTAACCACACTATGTCAGACATTGTGGACATTTATAATGGGATTTCTTATGATCTTCCTGGAAAGAATTAATAGTTATTCCTTTTTAAAGTATCTGTTTACTTCTTTTGTTCACTTTAGACTTACAGTTATATTTATTTCTTTTCAGATTTGGAAGAACAGTATATAATCTTAATTTTTCAAAATGGCCTTGATCCTCAGGCAAATATGGTATTTGAAAGTATCATTAATGAAATTGGAATAAAGAATAACATTTCCAATTTTTTTGCAAAAATTCTTTTTGAAGAAGCCAATGGCAGACTTGTTGCCTGTACGAGAACCTATGAAGACAGCATCAAAGGAAGTTGTGGGCAAAAAGAAAACAAAATCAAAACTGTAATTATGTTTTTAAAATTTAAAAATATTCTTAAATTATGAGTAGTTTTAAAGGGAGATATGTTTTAATACTGTTAATTTCAATGTTAAATCTTTTTAATTCTATTTCAAAATTACTTATTTCATTTTATATGTGATTGGTAAACTACCTTGTGTCAAAACAGTGGCAGGTAGATGACAAATAGTACTTGATACAGGTCTCAGAAGCATTTTTAGTTCCTCTACATTCTATCCTTATCTTTAATTTTCATCATCTTTTTTTGCTCATTCTTTATTCTTTATACCCTGCTTCCAACATATATATGCATACCTTGCTACATTCAAATGGATTGTTACCCTGTGTCTTAGGTTTCACGAAATTGTGGTCCCTGGTATACATTTGTATGTAACATAGGTATATATGGTTCAAAACTTGAGAAATGAGGAATACGTGCTATTTGACTTTTATTGTCAAAACATGTGTCTAGTTCTGGAATAACTACTCACATAGCTAGGTAACTCTGAAACCACCTGAATCAAAGGCCGCAATACTACTATAACACATAGTAGAATGGTAAATAATACAAACATAAATTTTAAAACTCTAAGTTTATTTCCTATGATAGCCCCTTAGCTTTGCTGACCTAATTTATTGTAAACAAATCTCTCAATCTGCCTACAAACTTGGAAATATGGCTATCTATATAGCACAATCTTTGTGACTGTTGAGCAAGGACTCCCCAGAGAAGAGCTGTAAATGTAATTAGTGGGTTGAGAAAAGAACAAAAGGAAGGGAAATGGTTCTCTTTCTTTTGTATAGATGGCATGGGAGACAGTGCCGGAGGGAGAAAAGAGCAGCATAATGCAGCTGGGATGGACTCAAACTTCAATGGAAGGTTCTTTCCTCCAAGGGAAACCCCTGTTTCATTTACCTCTGTGGAGGGCTGAAACTCATTAGACTTCTGTGTTCCCTGAGCCTCTGCCCCTACATCTTACAGATTGCCCAGCCATTGAACTCAGAGGCACAAATCACTCTGGTTTTTTTTGAAAGGTTCCTTGAATTTACCAGCATTATCTAATTTAGTATCAATAGTAGAGATCTTAGAGAAGTTACTGACTTCTAAAAGTATTAAAAAAGAGAGAGAGAAATAAGATACTGGAAAATTACTGTTACATAAGTTGGGAGACTGTCTAGTAGCTACAGAAAATAAGAAAGTGGCCCCTAGTTTTGCCTGTTTCTTATTTTTAATTGTTAAATATCATGCATACTTTTTAGTTACTTTTTAGTTCAATCCTTTTGCATTGAAAAGCATTCTTGCCTTCGGCTTACCTTTTTTATTGAAACTTTCCCTAATTCACTGTAAATTGTTAATTCAATTTCCTTTATCAGGTGTCATTTGAATCTAAAATACAACTTAGAAGCAAACAGGAATTTCAGTTTTTTGATGAAGAAGAAGAAACTGGAGAAAACCACACTATCTTCATTGGCCCAGTAGAAAAGTGAGAGAATTCCTTTAACTTTGCAATGATCTTAAATGTCTTTCTCTGTTTTACTACATTTAAGTAATGTATAAATATATATAGATTTGTTTATTTGCTTTTCTTTCAATTTTGTTACAGGTTGATAGTATATCCACCACCTCCAGCTAAGGGAGGCATCTCCGTTACCAATGAGGATCTGCATTGTCTAAATGAAGGAGAATTTTTAAATGATGTTATTATAGACTTTTATTTGAAGTAAGTTAATTTTCCACTAATCTTCTATTAAATCCTTAACATTCTGTCATATCGTATGTCTTTGTTTTCCAAAGTCAGGCTTTTTGAGTTTTAAATATTACCTCTGCCACTTACTGTGTGACATTTGGGGAGTTATTTATTCTGTTTCTGTCTTTGCACATTTTCAAAATGAGAATACTGTCTAAAGAGTTGTGAGAATTGAGCCAGGCGAAATGGCTTATGCGCATAATTCTGACACTTTGGGAAGTCAAGGTGGGAGGATTGCTTCAGCCTAGGAGTTCAGGACCAGCCTCGGAAGCAAAGTGAGACCCTGTCTCCACAAAAAAATTTCAAAATAGTCTAGGTATACACTTATCGTCCCAGCCATTTAAGAGGCTCAGGCAGGAAGTTTACCTGAGCCTAGGAGTTTGAAGTTGCAGTGAACTATGATGGTGCCACTGTGCTGCAGCCTGGTCAACAAAGCAGGACCCTGCCCCCATTCCACACCCACCCCCAAAAAAAGAATTTTGTGAGAATTAAATGAGATTGTACATATCAATTACAAGGAAAAATGCCTAGTACAGTGTTAGAAGTTTATGGTCTGTAGGAAACACAAATACGGAATTAAAGCAATGATAGAAGCATTAACATCTTACAGACCTAGTAGATGAGAAAATACTTCATTATCTTTGGAGACTGGGAGATGTGAGGGACCAGGAAGCTTTCCTGGAAGAGCTTACATTATGACCCAGTATACACATGTATACACCTATGTGCAATGTGTTTATACATGTATCAATTTGTATTTTATTTTTATGGGTTTGTTATATCAAATGGACAATGTATATGAAATAAAACAGAACGTAGCACCAGTAGTATGCATAGTTTGTTGTAATATTTTTTAGTTTATTATACTGTGTTTTATTAAACAAAACAAAACTTTTTTCTTTTATTTTTTATTTTTGTTGGCTCTGAGTATGGAACAAAACAAAACTTTTAAAAATTGATGCTGGAACCTGCCAAATTGATTTTATACCTATTGGTGGTTGCAATTCCGTTTGGTGGGAAAACACACACTGTGATAAAGAGAAAGTTTTGATCAGAGAAAAGATATTAGAATTGAATTTCTATCAGACCATTTTGACAGGCATGGACATTGTGGAAATATAGATGGGAAGTGATTTAAGGAAATTTCAAGTGGAGGTTTAGGAGAGAATGTGTACTTTTAGTCGCGCCTCACAATAATGAACTAACACCCTTCTACCCACTGGAGTATTGTGCCAGAGGAAGTCTACTAAAACATAGGAATTATATTGCTCTACATACTTGCCAGCAAAACCAAAAACAAAAACCATAATACTCAAAATGTCCAAATTTTAAAATGAAAATCGTTTGCCTCACCCAGAGTCAAAAAAATCTTACACTAAAGAGAAAAGAAAATTAGTAGACATTAACACCAAGAAGACACAAATGTCAGAATTATTTGACAGAAGTCTTAAAACATCTGATACGTTTTGGGTTTGTGTCCCCACCCGAATCTCATGTCCAGTTTTTTTTTTTTCCTTTATTGCATTTTAGGTTATGGGGTACATGTGAAGAACATGCAAGATAGTGCATAGGTACACACGTGGCAGTGTGATTTGCTGCCTTCCTCGCCTTCACCTATATCTGGCGTTACTCCCCACCCCCCCGCTTTCCCTCCCCTATTACCCCCAACAGACCCCAGTGTGTAGTGCTCCCCTCCCTGTGTCCATGTGTTCTCATTGTTCAACATCCGCCTGTGAGAACGTGCAGTATTTCATTTTCTGTTCTTATGTCAGTTTGCTGAGAATGATGTTCTCCAGATTCATCCATGTCCCTACAAAGGACACGAACTCATCGTTTTTAATGGCTGCATAATATTCCATGGTGTATATGTGCCAAATTTTCCCTGTTCAGTTTATCATCGATGGGCATTTGGATTGGTTCCAGATCTTTGCTATTGTAAACAGTGCTGCAGTGAACATTCGTGTGCATGTGTCCTTATAGTAGAACGATATATAATCCTTTAGATATGTACCCAGTAATGGGATTGCTGGGTCAAATGGAATTTCTATTTCTAAGGCCTTGAGGAATCGCCACACTGTCTTCCACAATGGTTGAACTAATTTACACTCCCTCCAACAGTGTAAAAGTGTTCCTATTTCTCCACATCCTCTCCAGGATCTGTCGTCTCCAGATTTTTTAATGATTGCCATCCTAACTGGCATGAGATGGTATCTCAATGCGGTTTTGATTTGCATTTCTCTAATGACCAGTGATGATGAGCATTTTTGTTGGCCTCATGTATGTCTTCTTTTGTAAAGTGTCTATTCATATCCTTTGCCCGCTTTTGAATGGGCTTGTTTTTTTCTTGTAAATCTGTTTTAGTTCTTTGTAAATTCTGGATATCAGCCGTTTGTCAAATGCGTAAACTGCAAAAATTTTTTCCCATTCTGTTGGCTGCCGATTCACTCTAATGACTTTCTTTTGCCGTGCAGAAGCTGTGGAGTTTGATTAGGTCCCATTTGTCTATTTTGGCTTTTGTTGCCAGTGCTTTTGGTGTTTTGGTCATGAAATCCTTGCCTACTCCTATGTCCTGCATGGTTTAGCCTAGATTTTCTTCTAGGGTTTTTATGTTGTTAGGTCTTATGTTTAAGTCTTTAATCCATCTGGAGTTAATTTTAGTATAAGGTGTCAGGAAGGGGTCCAGTTTCTGCTTTCTGCACATGGCTAGCCAGTTTTCCCAGCACCATTTGTTGAACAGGGAATTCTTTCCCCATTGCTTGTTTTTGGCGGGTTTATCAAAGATTGTATGGTTGTAGCTATGTTGTGTTGCCTCTGATGTCTCTGTTCTGTTCCATTGGTCTATATCTCTGTTTTGGGACCAGTACCATGCTATTTTGATTACTGTAGCCTTGTAGTATAGTTTGAAGTCCGGTAGTGTGATGTCTCCTGCTGTGTTCTTTTTGCTTAGAATTGACTTGGCTATGCGGGCTCTCTTTTGCTTCCATATGAAGTTTAAGGTGTTTTTTTCCAGTTCTGTGAAGAAGGTCATTGGTAGCTTGATGTGGGGGATAGCATTGAAACTGTAAATTACTCTGGGCAGTATGGCCATTTTCATGATATTGATTCTTCCTAACCATGGACGTGGAATATTTCTCCATCTGTTTGTGTCCTCTCTTATTTCGTTGAGCAGTGGTTTGTAGTTCTCCTTGAAGAGGTCCTTTATGTTCCTTGTTAGTTGTATTCCGAGTTATTTTATTCTCTTTGTAGCAATTGTGAATGGCGGTTCGTTCTTGATTTGGCCCTCTTTAAGTCTGTTATTGGTGTATAGGAATGCTTGTAATTTTTGCACATTGATTTTATATCCTGAGACTTTGCTGAAGTTTCTTAGCAGTTTCAGAAGATTTTGGGCTGAGATATTGGGGTCTTCTAGATACACGATCATGTCGTCTGCAAATAGAGACAATTTGGCTTCGTTCTTTTCTATTTGAATGCCCTTTATTTGTCTTTCTTGCCTGATTGCTCTGGCTAGAACTTACCGTACTATATTGAATAGGAGTGGTGAGAAAGGGAATCCTTGTCTATTGCCGGATTTCAAAGGGAATGCTTCCAGTTTTTGCCCATTCAGTATGATATTGGCTGTTGGTTTGTCGTAAATTACTTTTACTATTTTGAGATATGTTCCTTCTATACCTAGTTTATTGAGAGTTTTCAGCATAAAGCACTGTTAAATTTTGTCAAAGGCCTTCTCTGCATCAATTGAGATAATCATGTGGTTTTGTCTTTGGTTCTGTTTATGTGCTGAATTATGTTTATCTACTTGCATCCCTGGGATGAATCCTACTTGATAAAGGTGGATAAGCTTTTGAATGTGCTGTTGCAATCGGCTTGCCAGGATTTTATTGAAGATTTTTGGGTCTATGTTCATCATGGATATTGGCCCGAAGTTTTCTTTTCTTGTTGAATCTCTGCCGGGTTTTGGTATCAGAATGATGTTGGTCTCATAAAATGATTTGGGAAGGGTTCCCTCTTTTTGGATTATTTGGAATAGTTTCAGAAGGAATGGTACCAGCTCTTCTTTGTGTGTCTGGTAGAATTCGGCTGTAAACCCATCTGAACCTGGGCTTTTTGTGTGTGGTAGGCTCTTAATTGCTGCCTCAACTTCAGATCTTGTTATTGGTCTATTCAGGGTTTCAACTTCTTCCTGATTTAGGCTTGGGAGGAGGCGAGTTTCCAGAAATGTATCCATTTCTTCCAGGTTTACTAGTTTATGTGCATAGAGTTGTTTGTAATAATCTCTGACGATGGTTTGAATTTCTGTGGAATCTGTGGTGATATCCCCCGTATCGTTTTTTATTGCATCTATTTGGTTATTCTCTCTTTTCTTTTTTATTAATCTGGCTAGTGGTCTATTTTGTTGATCTTTTCGAAGAACCAGCTCCTGGATTTATTGATTTTTTGAAGGGTTTTTTTGTGTCTCCGTCTCCTTCAGTTCTGCTCTGATCTTAGTTATTTCTTGTCTTCTGCTAGGTTTTGAGTTTTTTTGATCTTGCTCCTCTAGCTCTTTCAATTTTGACGATAGGGTGTCAATTTTGGATCTCTCCACTCTTCTCATATGGGCACTTATTGCTATATATTTTCCTCTGGAGACTGCTTTAAAAGTGTCCCAGAGATTCTGGTATGTTGTGTCTTCTTTCTCATTGGTTTTGAAGAACTTCTTTATTTCTGCCTTCATTTCATTGTTTATCCAGTCAACATTCAAGAGCCAATTGTTCAGTTTCCATGAAGCTGTGCAGTTCTGAGTTAATTTCTGAATTCTGAGTTCTAACTTGATTGCACTGTGGTCTGACAGACTATTATGATTTCAGTTGTTTTGCATTTGCTGAGGAGTGATTTACTTCCAATTATGTGGTCAGTTTTAGAGTAGGTATGATGTGGTGCTGAGAAGAATGTATATTCTGTGGATTTGGGGTGGAGAGTTCTGTAAATGTCTATCA